ACAAATATACTACAGCCAATTATATAGTAGGTCACAGGTCTCTACACCAACATAGGGGGCTCTAACAAATATACTACAGCCAATTATATAGTAGGTCATAGGGGTCTATACCAACATAGGGGGTTCTAACAAATATACTACAGCCAATTGTATAGTAGGTCACAGGTCTCTACACCAACATAGGGGGTTCTAACAAATATACTACAGCCAATTATATATTAGGTCATAGGGGTCTATACCAACATAGGGGGCTCCAACAAATATACTATAGCCAATTATATAGTAGGTCATAGGTCTCTACACTAACATAGGGGGCTCTAACAAATATACTACAGCCAATTATATAGTAGGTCATAGGGGGCTATACCAACATAGGGGGTTCTAACAAATATACTACAGCCAATTATATAGTAGGTCACAGGTCTGTACACCAACATAGGGGGCTCTAACAAATATACACCACTATAGAGGGCTCTAAAAATATACTACAGCCAATTATATAGTAGGTCATAGGGGTCTATACCAACATAGGGGGTTCTAACAAATATACTACAGCCAATTGTATAGTAGGTCACAGCTCTCTACACCAACATAGGGGGTTTTAACAAATATACTACAGCCAATTATATATTAGGTCATAGGGGTCTATACCAACATAGGGGGTTCTAACAAATATAATACAGCCAATTGTATAGTAGGTCACAGGTCTCTACACCAACATAGGGGGTTCTAACAAATATACTACAGCCAATTGTATAGTAGGTCACTGGTCTCTACACCAACATAGGGGGTTCTAACAAATATACTACAGCCAATTGTATAGTAGGTCACAGCTCTCTACACCAACATAGGGGGTTTTAACAAATATACTACAGCCAATTATATAGTAGGTCATAGGGGGCTATACCAACATAGGGGGTTCTAACAAATATAATACAGCCAATTGTATAGTAGGTCACAGCTCTCTACACCAACATAGGGGGTTTTAACAAATATACTACAGCCAATTATATATTAGGTCATAGGGGTCTATACCAACATAGGGGGTTCTAACAAATATAATACAGCCAATTGTATAGTAGGTCACAGCTCTCTACACCAACATAGGGGGTTTTAACAAATATACTACAGCCAATTATATAGTAGGTCACAGGTCTCTGTTTATGTATATGTATATGTAATGAAAAACTTGGAAAAATAAAACCATTAAAAAAATAAAAAAAATATTGATCATTGGCGGTGGCATTTTGTAGGCAGTTGTGACTTGTGAGTATTTAGTTTACAATAAAAGCATATTACATGTATAGTATATGTCAATATTGAAAACATTGTTCACAACAGTCTAAACTATTTGATTGAAGTAGATCTGTTTTACAAAATTTCTTATTCTAGTCCCTCACCAGTACTACATGAGGGGACTTATGTTTTGTCTTGTACCTCATTTTATTCAGAGTTATTGCCCTTTGTTCATTTTTGATACCAAGGATTTTTGTGTTGTGTGGTAATATGAATTCCTCACTGTACATTTTATTTTTTTCAAGATTCAATTAGGTGTAATTCCAACTGATAGTCAAAGCTTTTAAATTTTTTTTTTTTTTTTTTTTTTTTAAATATTTTTAGGGCTTCATTCTGTGGTGCTGTACACGCTGATGGTGCCCCAGATAATGAGCTAGACCAAGATCTTCTTCATCGCCTGCAAGACAAAGAACTAAGTATGTGGACAAAATTCATTGTACTTTCATGTTCAATTTATTTTGGTGTGAATATGTTAAGATTATTTATTCAAAAACAATTTGGTGTTACTTACCCATTTAATCTCGCTAATTTTATGTTCGTAGATAAACACCACCGATCCAAGCGCGCAGCCAAGACAAGATGTCGCCTGATGGCTGTGGCAGACTACAGATTCTACACCAACATAGGGGGCTCTAACAAATATACTACAGCCAATTATATAGTAGGTCATAGGGGTCTATACCAACATAGGGGGTTCTAACAAATATACTACAGCCAATTGTATAGTAGGTCACAGGTCTCTACACCAACATAGGGGGTTCTAACAAATATACTACAGCCAATTATATAGTAGGTCACAGGTCTCTACACCAACATAGGGGGCTCTAACAAATATACTACAGCCAATTATATAGTAGGTCACAGGTCTCTACACCAACATAGGGGGCTCTAACAAATATACTACAGCCAATTATATAGTAGGTCACAGGTCTCTACACCAACATAGGGGGCTCTAACAAATATACTACAGCCAATTATATAGTAGGTCACAGGTCTCTACACCAACATAGGGGGCTCTAACAAATATACTACAGCCAATTATATAGTAGGTCACAGGTCTCTACACCAACATAGGGGGCTCTAACAAATATACTACAGCCAATTATATAGTAGGTCACAGGTCTCTACACCAACATAGGGGGCTCTAACAAATATACTACAGCCAATTATATAGTAGGTCACAGGTCTCTACACCAACATAGGGGGCTCTAACAAATATACTACAGCCAATTATATAGTAGGTCACAGGTCTCTACACCAACATAGGGGGCTCTAACAAATATACTACAGCCAATTATATAGTAGGTCACAGGTCTCTACACCAACATAGGGGGCTCTAACAAATATACTACAGCCAATTATATAGTAGGTCACAGGTCTCTACACCAACATAGGGGGCTCTAACAAATATACTACAGCCAATTATATAGTAGGTCACAGGTCTCTACACCAACATAGGGGGCTCTAACAAATATACTACAGCCAATTATATAGTAGGTCACAGGTCTCTACACCAACATAGGGGGCTCTAACAAATATACTACAGCCAATTATATAGTAGGTCACAGGTCTCTACACCAACATAGGGGGCTCTAACAAATATACTACAGCCAATTATATAGTAGGTCACAGGTCTCTACACCAACATAGGGGGCTCTAACAAATATACTACAGCCAATTATATAGTAGGTCACAGGTCTCTACACCAACATAGGGGGCTCTAACAAATATACTACAGCCAATTATATAGTAGGTCACAGGTCTCTACACCAACATAGGGGGCTCTAACAAATATACTACAGCCAATTATATAGTAGGTCACAGGTCTCTACACCAACATAGGGGGCTCTAACAAATATACTACAGCCAATTATATAGTAGGTCACAGGTCTCTACACCAACATAGGGGGCTCTAACAAATATACTACAGCCAATTATATAGTAGGTCACAGGTCTCTACACCAACATAGGGGGCTCTAACAAATATACTACAGCCAATTATATAGTAGGTCACAGGTCTCTACACCAACATAGGGGGCTCTAACAAATATACTACAGCCAATTATATAGTAGGTCACAGGTCTCTACACCAACATAGGGGGCTCTAACAAATATACTACAGCCAATTATATAGTAGGTCACAGGTCTCTACACCAACATAGGGGGCTCTAACAAATATACTACAGCCAATTATATAGTAGGTCACAGGTCTCTACACCAACATAGGGGGCTCTAACAAATATACTACAGCCAATTATATAGTAGGTCACAGGTCTCTACACCAACATAGGGGGCTCTAACAAATATACTACAGCCAATTATATAGTAGGTCACAGGTCTCTACACCAACATAGGGGGCTCTAACAAATATACTACAGCCAATTATATAGTAGGTCACAGGTCTCTACACCAACATAGGGGGCTCTAACAAATATACTACAGCCAATTATATAGTAGGTCACAGGTCTCTACACCAACATAGGGGGCTCTAACAAATATACTACAGCCAATTATATAGTAGGTCACAGGTCTCTACACCAACATAGGGGGCTCTAACAAATATACTACAGCCAATTATATAGTAGGTCACAGGTCTCTACACCAACATAGGGGGCTCTAACAAATATACTACAGCCAATTATATAGTAGGTCACAGGTCTCTACACCAACATAGGGGGCTCTAACAAATATACTACAGCCAATTATATAGTAGGTCACAGGTCTCTACACCAACATAGGGGGCTCTAACAAATATACTACAGCCAATTATATAGTAGGTCACAGGTCTCTACACCAACATAGGGGGCTCTAACAAATATACTACAGCCAATTATATAGTAGGTCACAGGTCTCTACACCAACATAGGGGGCTCTAACAAATATACTACAGCCAATTATATAGTAGGTCACAGGTCTCTACACCAACATAGGGGGCTCTAACAAATATACTACAGCCAATTATATAGTAGGTCACAGGTCTCTACACCAACATAGGGGGCTCTAACAAATATACTACAGCCAATTATATAGTAGGTCACAGGTCTCTACACCAACATAGGGGGCTCTAACAAATATACTACAGCCAATTATATAGTAGGTCACAGGTCTCTACACCAACATAGGGGGCTCTAACAAATATACTACAGCCAATTATATAGTAGGTCACAGGTCTCTACACCAACATAGGGGGCTCTAACAAATATACTACAGCCAATTATATAGTAGGTCACAGGTCTCTACACCAACATAGGGGGCTCTAACAAATATACTACAGCCAATTATATAGTAGGTCACAGGTCTCTACACCAACATAGGGGGCTCTAACAAATATACTACAGCCAATTATATAGTAGGTCACAGGTCTCTACACCAACATAGGGGGCTCTAACAAATATACTACAGCCAATTATATAGTAGGTCACAGGTCTCTACACCAACATAGGGGGCTCTAACAAATATACTACAGCCAATTATATAGTAGGTCACAGGTCTCTACACCAACATAGGGGGCTCTAACAAATATACTACAGCCAATTATATAGTAGGTCACAGGTCTCTACACCAACATAGGGGGCTCTAACAAATATACTACAGCCAATTATATAGTAGGTCACAGGTCTCTACACCAACATAGGGGGCTCTAACAAATATACTACAGCCAATTATATAGTAGGTCACAGGTCTCTACACCAACATAGGGGGCTCTAACAAATATACTACAGCCAATTATATAGTAGGTCACAGGTCTCTACACCAACATAGGGGGCTCTAACAAATATACTACAGCCAATTATATAGTAGGTCATAGGTCTCTACACCAACATAGGGGGCTCTAACAAATATACTACAGCCAATTGTATAGTAGGTCATAGGTCTCTACACCAACATAGGGGGCTCTAACAAATATACTACAGCCAATTATATAGTAGGTCACAGGTTTAGTTTTATTGGAACCTGAAGAAAGAGAGAAATTATTGAAATAATAACCTGATTAATTGCTAGATTAATTTCCATTTTTTCCATGATTTTACTTTATCTTGCTGAAAAATAACTCCCTTTGAAAAAATGTCAGCTTTCTTTTCAGAAAGAAATTGATATTCACTGACACAAAGCAAAGTGTTTAACTCATTCACCCCTGAATACACATTTGAACTCTTCCAATTCATAGGTTGGAATAGTTCGTTATAAAATTTCAGGGGTGAATGAGTTAAATCAATAAATCTATTAAGTTTAAATATTCTAAGATGTACTGTTACATTTTGTAATTTTTAGGTTGCGGTGATAAATCGTGCCAATGCTATTTATGAAAGGACAAACTTTGGTGGCACAGGATATGGCTTTGAGCTGGAACAGGTAGGCACACACATTGATGTTATTCTGATATACTTACAGCTTTTTGTAGATTGTATAATTCAAGCCTTATGGAAGTGAAAGGCATTTTGTAGATTGTATTCAATATATATACTCGAAAGTGCTAGGGAGATTTAGTCTTCAGTGTTTTATTTTATTTATATTTCTACGATCAAATGGACGTTTAAAATTGTATACAAAAGTATAATTGATTCCTGCATATATACCATGAATAATGGATAACTTTGGACATTTGTGATAACTTCGGACATTAGTGTCCAGACAGAAGTCTTATATTTGTGTTGGCAGAAGATCTTGTACATTCCCCTTTTTGATTACAAATCTATATTTGCTGACTCAACATTGTGTTTTGTGTTGTAACAGTTGCGACTTCACGAGGGATACAGCCCTTCAGATGGTTTCCCTTACAACGTAGCCACGCCTAGTTGGGCAGACATGAGTGGTCTCCTCTCGGTAAGGGTTCAGTGCTCGCTACTATGTCGTATATCCCCTACAATGGTAAAGGGTTTTTATCACTTGTTACCTAATATAGTGTACAGGCATCTTAAGTTCTCCAATATCCATGAACTGTTGTTTGGGAAACAACTATGACTTTACAATAAATACAGGAATAATACAGTAAAGTCTGCTTAATCCCCAGGTCCAGATCGAATACTGTAAACAGACTTATTTTAACACTCTCAATTTTAGCGCATTATCAAATTTTAATAGATTAATGTATTGGTGTGCTCGAAAAAAGTGCAATAGAGAACAAAATAAAGGAACTTCAATTTGCATATTCATAATTTAGCGCAGTAATTAAAGTATGAAAACCGCTAAAATAGGACTACCGCTATAAAATGAACACTTACAGAACAAATTTGATATATTCAGACATCATGTTTAATCAGTGGTGTTTTCTCTGATCGTTTAGAAAATTTGCTAAAATAAACATAAATAAAAAGCAAACATGAAAAACAAAAAAAGGGACAAGAGTGTGTAGGTATTACCAAAGATTTTTTAGGCTGAGATTTTTTCCACTTGTATACCTACTCTTGTGTGTGTAGTAATTGGGTTCTGCTATAACTTAAAAGAAAGATTGAAAAATCTCTCAAAAACATTACAATGACAAACTGGTTCTTGTTTTAGTGCAATCTTGCTACGGTTACAAAATATTAATACAATGTTTTAAGTTGCGACGATTTTGATTTTCAGACGTTCAGCCAAAGTACGACGTTCCGCGACTACTGCCTGGTACATCTGTTTACACACCAGGGCTTGAACAACATTTACGGGATGGGCTACATCGCTGGCACCTCATTGGCTGCTGCCGGGGGAATCTGTTCTCTATGTAAGTAGGCACTTTGATCTTACATTTGCTTGGACTATTATTAGGTGTAACTCCTGTGAAAAATTCTACATGTTTAGATGTAGTATAGGGCTTACCTGGTGTAGACACATTCATGTCTGTTAGTACTCTGTAGACTTACTGCTGGCTGAAGTCTGAGATATTACATGTTTCGATGTAGTATAGGGCTTACCTGGTGTAGACACATTCACATCTGTTGGTACTCTGTAGGCTTATTGCTGGCTGAAGTCTGAGATATTACATGTTTAGATGTAGTTTAGGGCTTACCTGGGGTAGACACATTCACGTCTGTTGGTACTCTGTAGACTTACTGCTGGCTGAAGTCTGAGATATTACATGTTTCGATGTAGTATAGGGCTTACCTGGTGTAGACACATTCACGTCTGTTGGTACTCTGTAGGCTTACTGCTGGCTGAAGTCTTGAGATATTACATGTTTCGATGTAGTATAGGGCTTACCTGGTGTAGACACATTCACATCTGTTGGTACTCTGTAGGCTTACTGCTGGCTGAAGTCTGAGATATTACATGTTTAGATGTAGTATAGGGCTTACCTGGTGTAGACACATTCACGTCTGTTGGTACTCTGTAGGCTTACTGCTGGCTGAAGTCTGAGATATTACATGTTTAGATGTAGTATAGGGCTTACCTGGTGTAGACACATTCACGTCTGTTGGTACTCTGTAGGCTTACTGCTGGCTGAAGTCTGAGATATTACATGTTTAGATGTAGTATAGGGCTTACCTGGTGTAGACACATTCACGTCTGTTGGTACTCTGTAGGCTTACTGCTGGCTGAAGTCTGAGATATTACATGTTTAGATGTAGTATAGGGCTTACCTGGTGTAGACACATTCACGTCTGTTGGTACTCTGTAGGCTTACTGCTGGCTGAAGTCTGAGATATTACATGTTTAGATGTAGTATAGGGCTTACCTGGTGTAGACACATTCACGTCTGTTGGTACTCTGTAGGCTTACTGCTGGCTGAAGTCTGAGATATTACATGTTTAGATGTAGTATAGGGCTTACCTGGTGTAGACACATTCACGTCTGTTGGTACTCTGTAGGCTTACTGCTGGCTGAAGTCTGAGATATTACATGTTTAGATGTAGTATAGGGCTTACCTGGTGTAGACACATTCACGTCTGTTGGTACTCTGTAGGCTTACTGCTGGCTGAAGTCTGAGATATTACATGTTTAGATGTAGTATAGGGCTTACCTGGTGTAGACACATTCACGTCTGTTGGTACTCTGTAGGCTTACTGCTGGCTGAAGTCTGAGATATTACATGTTTAGATGTAGTATAGGGCTTACCTGGTGTAGACACATTCACGCCTGTTGGTACTCTGTAGGCTTACTGCTGGCTGAAGTCTGAGATATTACATGTTTAGATGTAGTATAGGGCTTACCTGGTGTAGACACATTCACATCTGTTGGTACTCTGTAGACTTACTGCTGGCTGAAGTCTGAGATATTACTTGTTTAGATGTAGTATAGGGCTTACCTGGTGTAGACACATTCACGTCTGTTGGTACTCTGTAGACTTACTGCTGGCTGAAGTCTGAGATATTCTAGACAAGATAATCGTTAATGGTGTGCCAATGTTCATGTTACATTTTTGGAAGTGTTCAACATTCATTTGCCAACCAAGCATTTAACTCATTGACCCCTGAAATTGTTATAGTGGACTGTTCCAACCTTTGAATTGGAAGGGTTCAAATGTGTCTTCATGGGTGAATGAGTTAAGGTTATAACAAGAAAAGAAAAAATAGCCAATTCTATATTGACGGATTGATATTCGTCAAAATGTCCAAGTCTGGTGTCAGGGCCAGAGGAAACTTGGACTAATGACACTCTGTGTCACTTCCTGTAGGTAGATTAAGATAGGCACCAGTTATATGTAACAGGAAAGAAATATTCAACAGCCAGACCAGCATTTATATCTGAGACCTCTGCAATCCTGGTAGATCTTATCAAACAAGTTGTTAGGTCAGAAACCGTCCCAGTAACACAGTGTCCATCTGTCTGTCCGTCCATGCACACTTTTGTTTCCAGAGATTAATATCTGAATTTAAAAGACTAATCTATCTGAAATTTTACATTGTGATACCCTGTGATATGTAGATGTGCAGTAGGGGTTTAAAACATTTCAAAGGTCAAGGTCACTGTAAATAAAAATACACTGTGGGGGAACAGTCCTTTTCTCCGAATCCGAAAGTGAAATCTTTTTGAAATTTGACATGGTGATACACTGTGGTATGTAGATATGTAGTAGGGGTTTTCAATGTTTCTAAGGTCAAGTTTAAGGTCACTTACTATAAATAAGACATGGAGAGGGGGGGGGGGGGATTTTAAAGTACTTATATCTTAATTCAAAGTCTCCTCTTTTTGAAATGTGACAGGGTGATACAGTGTGCTATGTAGATGTGCAATAGGGATTTTCAAGGGCACTGTTAATAAAAGTATACCCGATGGTGTGTAGCCCTTATCTCAATACTGTTTAAGATCAAGTTCAAGGTTTCTTTTTATGAAAAACATTATAGGGTTATGGCCTGAGGCACATGACAGGCCCTTGTTGACCTGTCAGTTTTGTAAGTAACAATGATACTGCCTTGTTTAAGTCCAGAAATGTTTTAGGTTGGGAAACCTCTACAGCCTTGTGACAAGTGTATAGCTTGATTTAAAGGTTACATTTATAATGACAGTGGTATGAAATAAAAGTTTGTTTTGTGACAAGTTTCTATCCTAATTAAACATTTGGTTTCTAGCCTCAACTAATGGTGGCACCACTTACACGTACAACACGGCCGTCACGACCACCAGTGATGCCAGCGGCAACACCATCCTGTCCAGGATGTCCGAGCTTGTCACAGCTCACGGTCAGTACGACTAGGGCGGCTAAATACCGCAGTCTTACTTCCTGTTTAACACTTGGCCAACAATGTTTATTTAGAATAGGATGATTTAATTATCATAGAGGAATGTTTTATTGATTTAATGGTAATATTTTGTATATTGTAAAGTAACATTTATTGATTAGAAATAATTTCTGAAAATTTGTAAAAAAAATTTTTTTTTAAATATCCATCAGAATGTACACTTCTATGTTTATCTGTGGCTGCATGTTATCTTTACATATACATGTATAGGAGATTTTTGTCTGTTACGTTGAAATATTCTTATATACATGAACATACCCTGCCTTTGGTATACATACACATACGCAACCCACATGGAGGCATGTCCTTAAATGACCTTAGCTGTTAATACATTTAGGACGTTATGCCCTTGAACCAACCAATCATGCATTTTTTTTCTTTTCATATGCTGGTGAACTTTTTTGGGAACAACAGAACTTGGTAAGTGTTTTTTAATTTTATAGTGTTTCAAATGTTTACACTGTTGTCATTATCTCTCATGTTAGGCAAATAGAGTATATATACTGATTGGTTCCGGTAAACCTAACCTACCCTAATATTTTATGCCTGCCTTAAACATTTTTGAACAATTTTCAAGGAGTCCAGATCACTTTCCTGAATAAACCTTATATAAGATAAAATATTACTTACCTGCCAGTGCTAATTTTTTGAGACATGTAATAGGGAACACCATATATTTTGTTTGGTTGGTCTTGTTAAGTTTTTAGAAAATTGTCCTAAATTGCAGGGTACCTGTGAAGTTATCCACATAACTAATTCAACATTTCTTGAAAATAAAAAAAATAATTATTGTAGAACATGATTTATAATGTATACAAAAACAGGCAATTTGTAACTCAGGCTGTCTATATCAAACATCATGGGGGCCCGATGTTTTACCCTAGCTGTCTATATCAAACATCATGGGGGCCTGAGGTTTTACTCAGACTTACTCCGACTGTCTATATCAAACATCATGGGAGCCTGAGGTTTTATTCAGACTGTCTATATCAAACCCTCATGATGTTTTACTCAGGCTGTCTATATCAAGCATTAGGGGGCCTGAGGTTTTACTCAGGCTGTATACATCAAACATCATGGGGGCCTGAGGTGTTATTCCGACTGTCTATATCAAACCCCCATGATGGTTTACTCAGACTGTCTATATCAAACATCACGGGGGCCCGATGTTTTACCCTAGCTGTCGATATCAAACATCATGGGGGCCCGACGTTTTACCCTAGCTGTCTATATCAAACACCATGGGGGCCTGAGGTTTTACTCAGCCTTACTCAGACTGTCTATATCAAACATCATGGGCGCCTGAGGTTTTACTCAGACAGTCATATATCAAGCCCCCATGATGTTTTACTCAGACTGGCTATATCAAACATCATGGGGGCCTGAGGGTTTATTCAGACTGTCTATATCAAACCCCCACGATGTTTTACTCAGTCTGTCTATATCAAACATCATGGGGTCTGAGGTTTTACTCAGGCTGTCTATATCAAGCATTATGGGGCCTGAGGTTTTACTCAGGCTGACTATATCAAACATCATGGGGGCCGGAGGTTTTACTCAGGCTGTCTATATCAAACATCATGGTGGCCTGAGGTTTTACTCAGACTGTCTATATCAAACATCACGGGGGCCCGATGTTTTACCCTAGCTGTCTAGATCAAACATCATGGGGGCCTGAGGGTTTACTCAGGCTGTCTATATCAAACATCATGGAGGCCTGAGGTTTTACTCAGACTGTCTATATCAAACATCATGGGGGCCTGAGGTTTTACTCAGACTTACTCAGACTGTCTATATCAAACATCATGGGGGCCCGAGGTTTTACTCAGGCTGTCTATATCAAACATCATGGGGGCCTGAGGTTTTACTCAGACTGTCTATATCAAACATCATGGGGGCCTGAAGTTTTACTCAGACTGTCTATATCAAACATCATGGGGCCTGAGGTTTTACTCAGGCTGTCTATATCAAGCATTATGGGGCCTGAGGTTTTACTCAGGCTGTCTATATCAAACATCATGGGGGCCTGAGGTTTTACTCAGACAGAAGATTTTATAGACAGCTTTTGGATTTATTGTTTAGATGATACATATATAGATTGAACGGGCTGAATTTTACACAGGTTACAATTAAGCACAGTCAGGTAGCTGTACCATGTCATCACAGCATCAATCAGGTTAATGTTGCTCTCCCTGTTGTTTTAGGTCATAACTGGGGCAGTCAACACGACCAGTCTGGGGACTGTACGCCTTCCTCACTTATAGGCGATGGAAAATATCTCATGTACTCGTACGCCGTCACTGGAGAGGACCCCAACAATGACGTATGTACTGGTAAAGTGTGCAGGATTTTTTCAGCTTATGCAGAACAATATAAATAGCCAGGGCAGGGCTACTTGAATTGCCCAAAAAAGTACTTGTGCAAATAACATACCGGTAGGTGTGCAAATTACAGGAGTTTTTATGATAATTGTTTTGTCAATAAGTGAATACTGTACCAAATGTAATTGCTTTTTTTTTTAAACTTTGCAGGATTTCTCCACTTGTAGCAGGACGTACATCTCCCGTGTTCTGGCTGCCAAGGCTGGCAGCTGTTTCCAAGGTAATATATTCTCTTATAGATGAAATATGTGTCAATCGAATGAAGCTCCTGGCTGACACATGCAAGCAGTCTGATTGGCTGAGATTCTGTTTGTCATCCTTACTGATCACTAGCTAGTCACCCACTGGTACTACTAGAGAGGAATAGAGGTTTGCATTCCATCTGACAATATAAGTAAGCTAGTATACCTGTGCACAATGAAAAATTATAATCTAATTACTTACTTGAATATTTCATCGTCTGTTACAACTTGAATAGAAGCCATTGTTTTTCGTCATTCAATCTCGCCACTTCACTATCCCACAGATAGGTGGTGCTACACTGCATATAGGCAGGGAGGGTAACTTAGTGCCCCATATATGCGTTTCGATTTCCCACCGTGATATTCTTCCTTCTGTATACTGCCTTCTGTACTCCGTTCATCCTTCCACCAAGAATTATCTGTATGCAGGTACAGCCTGGGTGGTAGTGGGAGGTCCCAAAAGTAGGTCACTATGACCTATCTTTTGACCTTTGGCATTAGAACATGTTGTTTGGTCCATACTCTCTTTATTTTTTCACCTGGAGTTACTATAGTTGGTATGTACATATACCTTTTATTTGTCTGATATTTTATTGGCCAGTCAATTACATTGTCTTCTGATTGTAACTCTTTCTGACTGTGTTAAATTGTCAAGTAACTCCCAACAGCTGTTTTTATATCAGACAAATATTCTGAAAAAAAGGCTCTTATAATTTCCGTGTTTCTTCAACTGGATTTTTTTATACATTTTGGTGTTTCTTTTCAATCAGTATTCAGTATTTCTTTACTCAAAATGGCCAATCATTTGCAACATAGTCTAATATACTACGACAACATCCCATAATCTTGTCCAGTATACTAGACAACAGGGAAGGGAGTACCCAAAATCTTGTCCAGTATACTAGACAACAGGGAATGGGGTACCCAAAATCTTGTCCAGCATACTAGACAACAGGGAAGGGAGTACCCAAAACCTTGTCCAGTATATACTAGACAACAGGGAAGGGAGTCCCTGAAATCTTGTCTAGTATACTAGACAAGATGGAAGGGAGTACCGAAAACCTTGTCCAGTATACTAAATACAGGTACCTAAATAGTAAATGTTGATTGTCAACCAGTGGGGGACTACTTTCTTTTGACTTTTCATTTATTTGTCTTTCTATGAATTCTTATATACGTATATCATAAAATGTTATCAGTGTAGCAGTCCAGTTATCTCCCTTGTAGAGGCTACAACTTCCAATCTTTGTGGTAATGGTCGGATAGATGTTAACGAGGAATGTGATGGTGGGCTGCTGGGAAAGCTAGGGCTCGACTCCTGCTGCAGCAATGAATGTACTCTGTCAACAGGATCTGTCTGCACGTAAGTCTGTATTCTCAAACCAAGGTCTGTCTGCACGTAAGTCTGTACTCTCAAACCAGGGTCTGTCTGCACATAAGACTGTACTCTCAAACCAAGGTCTGTCTGCACGTAAGTCTGTACTCCCAAACCATGGTATGTCTGAGCAATGTGCAATGAGGCAATGACTAACTAAGCTGAGAGATTTTGTTATTTCAGTCTGACTTACTAAGCTAAGAGATTTTGTTATTTTAGTCTGACTTACTTAGCTGAGAGATTTTGTTATTTTAGTCTGACTTACTAAGCTGAGAGATTTTGTTATTTCAGTCCGACTTACTAAGCTGAGAGATTTTGTTATTTCAGTTTGACTTACTAAGCTGGGAGATTTTGTCATTTCAGTCCAACTAACTATGCTGAGAGATTCTGTTATTTCAGTCTGACTAACTAAGCTGAGAGATTTTGTTATTTCAGTCTGACTATCCAAGCTGAGATATTTTGTTATTTCAGTCCGACTAACTAAGCTGAGAGATTTTGTTATTTCAGAACAACTAACTTATCTGAACGATTTTGTTATTTCAGTCCGACTAACTTATCTGAACGATTTTGTTATTTCAGTCCGACTAACTTAGCGGAGAGATTTTGTTTTTTCAGTCCGACTAACTTATCTGAACGATTTTGTTATTTCAGTCTGACTTACTTAGCTGAGAGATTTTGTTATTTCAGTACGACTTACTAAGCTGAGAGATTTTGTTATTTTAGTCTGACTAACTTAGCTGAACGATTTTGTTATTTCAGTCCGACTAACTTAGCGGAGAGATTTTGTTTTTTCAGTCCGCCTACCTTATCTGAACGATTATGTTATTTCAGTCTGACTTACTTAGCTGAGAGATTTTGTTATTTCAGTCTGACTTACTTAGCTGAGAGATTTTGTTATATCAGTACGACTTACTCAGCTGAGAGATTTTGTTATTTTAGTCTGACTAACTTAGCTGAACGATTTTGTTATTTCAGTCTGACTAACTAAGCTGAAAGATTTTGTTATTTCAGTCTGATTTACTAAGCTGAGAGATTTTGTTATTTCAGTCTGACTAACTAAGCTGAGAGATTTTGTTTTTTCAGTCCGACTTACTAAGCTGAAAGATTTTGTTATTTCAGTCCGACTTACTAAGCTGGACGATTTTGTTATTTTAGTCTGACTAACTTAGCTGAAGGATTTTGTTATTTCAGCACGACTTACTAAGCTGAGAGATTTTGTTATTTTAGTCTGACTTACTAAGCTGGGAGATTTTGTCATTTCAGTACGACTTACTAAGCTGAGAGATTTTGTTATTTCAGTCTGACTAACTAAGCTGAAAGATTTTGTTATTTCAGTCCGACTAAATAAGCCGGACGATTTTGTTATTTCAGTCTGACTAACTAAGCTGAGAGATTTTGTTATTTCAGTCCGACTAACTAAGCTGAGAGATTTGTTATTTCAGTCCGACTAACTAAGCCGAACGATTTTGTTATTTCAGTCCGACTAACTAAGCTGAGAGATTTTGTTATTTCAGTCCGACTAACTAAGCCGAACGATTTTGTTATTTCAGTCCAACTAACTAAGCCGAACAATTTTGTTATTTCAGTCCGACTAACTAAGCTGAACGATTTTGTTATTTCAGTCCGACTAACTAAGCTGAGAGATTTTGTTTTTTCAGTCCGACTAACTAAGCTGAGAGATTTTGTTATTTCAGTCCGACTAACTAAGCTGAGAGATTAGTTATTTCAGTCCGACTAACTAAGCCGAACTATTTTGTTATTTCAGTCCGACTAACTAAGCCGAACGATTTTGTTATTTCAGTCCGACTAACTAAGCTGAACGATTTTGTTTTTTCAGTCCGACTAACTAAGCTGAGAGATTTTGTTTTTTCAGTCCGACTAACTAAGCCGGGAGATTTTGTTATTTCAGTCCGACCAACTAAGCTGAACGATTTTGTTAATTAAGACCGACTAACTAAGCTCAACGATTTTGTTTTTTCAGTCCGACTAATTAAGCTGAACGATTTTGTTATTTCAGGCCGACTAACTAAGCCGAACGATTTTGTTATCTCAGTCCGACTAACTAAGCTGAAAGATTTTGTTATTTCAGTCCGACTAACTAAGTCGGACGATTTTGTTATTTCAGTCTGACTAACTAAGCCGAACAATTTTGTTATTTCAGTCCGACTAACTAAGCTGAGAGATTTTGTTATTTCAGTCCGATTAACTAAGCCGGATGATTTTGTTATTTCAGTCTGACTAACTAAGCTGAGAGATTTTGTTATATCAGTCCGACGATTTTATTATTTCAGTCCGACTAACTAAGCTGAGAGATTTTGTTATTTCAGTATGACTAACTAAGCTGAGAGATTTTGTTATATCAGTCCGACGATTTAATTATTTCAGTCCGACTAACTAAGCTGAGAGATTTTGTTATTTCAGTCCGACTAACTAAGCCGAACGATTTTGTTATTTCAGTCCGACTAACTAAGCTGAGAGATTAGTTATTTCAGTCCGACTAACTAAGCCAAACTATTTTGTTATTTCAGTCCGACTAACTAAGCCGAACGATTTTGTTATTTCAGTCCGACTAACTAAGCCGGACGATTTTGTTATTTCAGTCTGACTAACTAAGCTGAGAGATTTTGTTATTTTAGTCCGACTAACTAAGCTGAGAGATTTTGTTATTTCAGTCCAACTAACTAAGCTGAGAGATTTTGTTATTTCAGTCCGACTAACTAAGCCGTACGTTTTTGTTATTTCAGTCCGACTTACTAAGCCGAACGATTTTGTTATTTCAGTCCGACTAACTAAGCTGAACGATTTTGTTATTTCAGTCCGACTAACTAAGCTGAACGATTTTGTTATTTCAGTCCGACTTACTAAGCTGAGAGATTTTGTTATTTCAGTCCGACTAACTAAGCCGGACGATTTTGTTATTTCAGTCCGACTAACTAAGCCGGACGATTTTGTTATTTCAGTCCGACTAACTAAGCCGGACGATTTTGTTATTTCAGTCCGACTAACTAAGCCGGACGATTTTGTTATTTCAGTCCGACTAACTAAGCCGGACGATTTTGTTATTTCAGTCCGACTAACTAAGCCGGACGATTTTGTTATTTCAGTCCGACTAACTAAGCCGGACGATTTTGTTATTTCAGTCCGACTAACTAAGCCGGACGATTTTGTTATTTCAGTCCGACTAACTAAGCCGGACGATTTTGTTATTTCAGTCCGACTAACTAAGCCGGACGATTTTGTTATTTCAGTCCGACTAACTAAGCCGGACGATTTGTTATTTCAGTCCGACTAACTAAGCTGAGAGATTTTGTTATTTCAGTCCGACTAACTAAGCCGGACGATTTTGTTATTTCAGTCCGACTAACTACCCCTGCTGTACCACTTCCTGTCAGATGGCTGCTACCGCCAACAACCTGGTGTGCGCGGGCGCGGGAGCTGGCACCTGTCTCAAGGAAACATTTTGTGAATATCCTTCCTACTCAAATCATAAATGATAAAATGGATAGCATTTATGCTCCCCCTAATAATCGCTTTAGGTCACATGGAGTAATATATACACATTATCATTCTGTCGTGAGGTTCTATGCAATAAATAGTATCTCTACAAAGTTAGACACTTTTAAGAAGTCATTAAGAGTCAAATCTGTTCTTAACATTTTACTAGTGTACAAACCATTGGGAACAATCTAGACCTCACAACCAAATATAGGGCTGTCACGCACTCTACCTTATGGTGAAAAGTCGTCTAGTCCTTACTACACTGCTGGGGTCACGTCCTATTTGTATCCCCATCACCAGAGTATCCAGGGATACATTTTAGCCAGTCACGAGTTGTCAGACCATTTGAACCTCACATATGATATATATCATTGTTAAAATTAGTAGTTTATTTACAGTAAAAAGGTTATGTATCACAACCAGTAAGGGGTCGTGGTAACTGAGTGGTTAAGGCATCTGACATTCTGCTACCACTAGCACTCCACCACTGGGTCGCTGGTTCGAAGCCTATGTTGGGCAGTCGCCAGGTACTGGTCGAAGGTTTTTCTCCGGGTACTCTGGCTTTCCTCCACCATCAAAACCTGGCACGTCCTTAAATGACCATAGCTGTTAATAGGACATAAAACACAAACAAACCAAACCTGGCACGTCCTTAAATGGCCATAGCTGTTAATAGGACATAAAACACAAACAAACCAAACCTGGCACGTCCTTAAATGGCCATAGCTGTTAATAGGACGTAAAACACAAACAAACCAAACCTGGCACGTCCTTAAATGGCCATAGCTGTTAATAGGACGTAAAACACTAACAAACCACAAATTGAAGCTCATAGTAACAGGGGCTGTGAAATGTTTTAAACCTCACAGCCAACTGGGACTGGTTGGTACATGGATTTAAACCATTTCTTAGTTCCCATAAATAAAAAAAAGGATGTTTCTGCATATGTCCTTAAGCAGTATTTCCAGTTTGAGTGATTCATGCAAACTTGAATATCAACTTTACTGTACATGTTTGTAGAAAGTTTGTCGTAATAATAGCTTTACAGAGCTTATGTTTGAATTTAAACATAAACAGAGATAAATTAAAATTCTTGTATCGTGTTAAGTGATCTTATCTATACAATGAATTCACTTTCTGGAGTTATGAGGACTTAAACGTAGACAAAAAGAATACTAGAGTGTAAAGAGCCTGTATTTTATTGAAGATTTAGTCACGGAGTTTCCACCCACTTCATCGTGTAGTTCTAGTCATTATAGCCACGGGAATTGTTATCATCCTTAACGTTTACACTGGTACCAGTTTTACCTGTCCTACTCCCGCTCCACTGGCTGACGGCACGGACTGCGTGGACCAGTAAGTATACTCCAAAAAAATACAGCTCAGGTTTTCCAAGAAACTTATCTATTTACTGTTAGTGGTCAAATTTATCCAAAACTTCTTTTGGCAGATTTTCTTTCAACAACATATTCTTAGGAATTTGAATTCCCAAAAGATGGATTGATTTATGAGGCTAATTAAATCATTCACTCCTGAAATTTCATAATGAACTATTTCAACCTTTGAATTAGAAGGGTTCAAATGTGTCTTCAGTAGTGAATGAATTAAGCCTGCTCTGAATTAAAATGTTTGTGAGATATTTGAGTGTACATGTTTTAGATTACACATATTGCTGATGTAGAAATCTAAATGACACCTCTAATCAACAATTTAAAAAAATATGAATATTTTTTTCACTGGAGACTAAAATCAGCGCTGTCCTTGTTTGTAGGGGGTCCTGTAGAAATGGGGTGTGCCTGGCGTACTGTGAATACCGTGGGATGATCTCCTGTGTCTGCAATGATGGTAAGGTGTTTGTGTTTATGTGGTTATAATAATCTTGATCTTAAATGCTGCTGTTTTGATGGCTGACAAGAATTAAGGAATCACATGTTTTCCAAATCTACAGAAAGTGAATAAATTTCCTATCTTAGTTGAAGACAGTAGAAAATGGCACAGCATAGACAGTGAGGTAAGAGGGAGGGAGAGAATTCTTCAGGAAAATTCTTCTCACGTCATATACCAGGTATACAAATATATAATTACAAGGTCATACAAAAAGCTCATCATATATACACAAGGTCATATATTAAAACACAAGGTCATATATTTAAACACAACAGACGTGCAGCTTTACATTTTTATACATTTTTTCCAGTTTCGAATTCCTGTCGCCGATGCTGTAGAACAAGTGGAGTGTGTTCTGTAGCGAACTCAACGTTGTTCCTAGCTCAGGATCGGCCCTGTACCTATGGCTATTGTGACAGTGCAGTAAGTTATCTACCCTTTACAGATGGTTACTGTGACAGTTCTATGACTTATCTCCCCTGTATCTATATGGTGATGGTACTGTAAGATATCTACCCTCTACCAATGGTTACTGTGACAGTTCTATGACTTATCTCCCCTGTATCTATATGGTGATGGTACTGTAAGATATCTACCCTCTACCAATGGTTACTGTGACAGTTCTATGACTTATCTCCCCTGTATCTATATGGTGATGGTACTGTAAGATATCTACCCTCTACCAATGGTTACTGTGACAGTTCTATGACTTATCTCCCCTGTATCTATATGGTGATGGTACTGTAAGATATCTACCCTCTACCAATGGTTACTGTGACAGTTCTATGACTTATCTCCCCTGTATCTATATGGTGATGGTACTGTAAGATATCTACCCTCTACCAATGGTTACTGTGACAGTTCTATGACTTATCTCCCCTGTATCTATATGGTGATGGTACTGTAAGATATCTACCCTCTACCAATGGTTACTGTGACAGTTCTATGACTTATCTCCCCTGTATCTATATGGTGATGGTACTGTAAGATATCTACCCTCTACCAATGGTTACTGTGACAGTTCTATGACTTATCTCCCCTGTATCTATATGGTGATGGTACTGTAAGATATCTACCCTCTACCAATGGTTACTGTGACAGTTCTATGACTTATCTCCCCTGTATCTATATGGTGATGGTACTGTAAGATATCTACCCTCTACCAATGGTTACTGTGACAGTTCTATGACTTATCTCCCCTGTATCTATATGGTGATGGTACTGTAAGATATCTACCCTCTACCAATGGTTACTGTGACAGTTCTATGACTTATCTCCCCTGTATCTATATGGTGATGGTACTGTAAGATATCTACCCTCTACCAATGGTTACTGTGACAGTTCTATGACTTATCTCCCCTGTATCTATATGGTGATGGTACTGTAAGATATCTACCCTCTACCAATGGTTACTGTGACAGTTCTATGACTTATCTCCCCTGTATCTATATGGTGATGGTACTGTAAGATATCTACCCTCTACCAATGGTTACTGTGACAGTTCTATGACTTATCTCCCCTGTATCTATATGGTGATGGTACTGTAAGATATCTACCCTCTACCAATGGTTACTGTGACAGTTCTATGACTTATCTCCCCTGTATCTATATGGTGATGGTACTGTAAGATATCTACCCTCTACCAATGGTTACTGTGACAGTTCTATGACTTATCTCCCCTGTATCTATATGGTGATGGTACTGTAAGATATCTACCCTCTACCAATGGTTACTGTGACATTTCTATGAGTTATCTCCCCTGTATATATATGGCGATGGTACTGTAAGATATCTACCCTCTACTAATGGTTACTGTGACAGTTCTATGACTTATCTCCCCTGTATCTATATGGTGATGGTACTGTAAGATATCTACCCTCTACCAATGGTTACTGTGACAGTTCTATGAGTTATCTCCCCTGTATCTATATGGTGATGGTGCTGTAAGTTATCACCTTAATTACAAACAGATATAACTTAAGCCTTTTTTTCTGTATCTTCATCGTCAGAAGAATATGGAATATGGCTTTATATGGTGCTGTGTTCTTTGGGTAGTCCCATCAGCTGTTGACACCAAATTAACTCATTCACCCCTGCAAACACATTTGAACTCCTCCAATTCTAAGGTTGGAATAGTTCATTATGAAATTTCAGGGGTGAATGAGTTAAGAGCAATCGTTTTTTTTAATGCTTTAAGATTCAAAATTTACAATAACATTTTAACCCATGTTTATTGTTTTGATCAGGGCACCTGTATCAAGACGGAGGCAGGGCTGGCAGACCGCTTCTTTGATCTCATTGACAAGATCAGCATTGACTACCTTGGTGAGTGTCTACACCCAGTACATTGAAATTTTCAATTTTGATCAATATTGCGAAAAAAAAGCAGTTATGATAACTTACAGGTAATGTTTTGGTAGTCAGTATATATTACACATGAGATGATGTGGGTTATGTAGCGTATGTAAGTTATGATGTAGATTATGTAGGTTACGTCAGTTTTGTTGCGACCATTATCACCTATATAAATTGATACTAACTTCTCTGATGGACATAATGATAATTGGCCTTGAGCATTTTGTATATTAATTTTGACTTTATTATGGTTCATACTTGCCTTTTACTTCGAGATGTATATACTTATCTATTAACCTTGACCTTCCTTATTATATTGACATTGACCTCTGATGTGTGCTTATAAATACCAATGACTCATATGTAAACATCAACCTTGATTTTAATTTTGATTTACCTTGAATTCTGATATTTCCTTTTAGATCTTGATTTCACTAACATACAGTTACATAAATGTTTAAATATATTGACTTTGGATCTCCCTCATGTGTTTGACCTTTTTTTCTCTAATGAATCAAAAAGTGTTGACCTTGACCTTTATTTCTCTATTGAATCAAAATGTATTGACCTTGACCTTTAACCCCTGTATGTTTACAGTGGAGGCGTTCAGGACAAACATGGTGGCGTTTGTGCAGGTTTTCTCCCTCCTTGTATGGGTACCACTCAGCTGTCTGTGCTGGTGTCGGGTGAGTTGTGTCTTCTGTGTAAAATTCAGCTACAAGCAAACCTGTTGATATTGAATTTGATTTGACCTCTAGGATAGTATTGAAGGATATCAGCTGAAATTTTATTTTTAGATTACCAAAGTCCCAAGTGACCTATACATGTAATTACTGCCTTTTGTTTTTTACCTTATCTGTTGTCTATCCCTAAAAAACACTTCTTACTTCTAAATTTATGAAAAAATACTGCACCAATTGAAAAAAAATATTGCAGGAAACGTTCATGGCCAAAGAGAAACAGAAACTGTGCATTAGTTCTTACCCACAGAGGCCTAAGGAGTGAGATCTGGAGTGGGAATATGGGATTGCCATTTAAGAGTTTAAAAAATAAAACCCTGTCCTACCCTGGAGGTCTGACATTGGCGGTAACTGGCTTAAAATTTCAGAAATATTCTTCATATCCAGCAATCCTAGAATCAAAACTAATACTCTTCATAGATGGAGATTAGGTCCTGTGGTGTTTTTAATAAAATTGGTTTTTGTTGAGAAATCCAAGTAGAAATAATCAAGTATACAAAGAAAAATAGTGCATGTAATGTAACTAAGGCAACAGTAAATCACCCAAAAATAATGATTTGGCTAACTTGTGCAATATATAGAGCAGGTACCCTTCCAAAAACAGGCAAAGCCTATTTAAGCCTGCTCCAATTTATCACTGACAATTCTAAAGGGTTATTTCACCCCTGAGTTTTAGCTAATATGGGTAATTTTATAATATATTATATAATATCAAAGGTTTACTTATAATAATGTGCAATACACATAGTAATGTGTGTCGCAAATGTTTCAAAACCGACTGGTCCCTTTGTCAAGCTATATAAGATTAAACTGATGAACAGAAGATCTTATTGACGATGGGTAATTTTGCATTTGACTCATCAGGATTTGAGTTAGAAGGGTTATTTAACCCCTCAGAGTTTTTAGTAAGGAGATCTAGAGGAGTTGACTCAACTGGGTTTAATTAAATTATGTGGGATAATTGAGTGGTCTGTATTTGACTTGGTTCTACAGTTATTTCAACAGATATACAGGAAAGAAAATTACTGTTGTTCTGTTGTGTGTATTTTCAGGATAACAGGAGAAGAAAGAAGAGAGAAAACCGAGAAGACTTATCAGTTCGTCTTGTAAGTTGTGTAGACTTTTTCAATAGTCCATCCCTCAGTAATGAATGAAGTGTATTGACCTAACATCCTGTGTTCAGCCCGATGTTCAATACTGGTTGATCCTTATGAAGCCAGGAGTTGAATCATGGAAACACTATCATTATCTAAGGTTCATATAAAAAATTAAAACCTAGTAAATTTATGATAGACAAAAATATACAAGTTGTTTTAGAAGTTAAGTTTTACTGCAGAATGTTTGTCAGTTTGAACAGTTGCAAGAGGAATCCATTATTCAAGTAAGGCTTTTCAAGCCTAACTCTCCAAGTGACTTGCCATTCAGCCCTAAAAATCTTATGTATTTTCAGGCTTGGAGGAATCTTGTTAATATTTGCATTATTATTGATTTTGAAAGTAGTGAATTGTCTTTTTGCATATATTGAGAAACACTAACGTATGTCATTTTTCCCGACGTCTCCAATTATATGATGTGAAAACGACTCAAATATTGTTCTTAATGTATACACACTGAAATTACATTTTCTCTAAAAACCAGGGCCCGTATTCATGAAATTGTTTTCATGCATTTTGTCCTCAAGCCTAATTTCTTGTTTCAGTTATAAATTAGTAATAAAATCTTTATTTTGTTGATAATTTGGGAAAAATGAAGAGACTTTAAGCCGAATACTGTTTTCAGTGTTTACGTTTGATTTTTTGATTATTTTACATGATTTAAGTGAGTTACAGGATATCTGGTTTGAGAGCATGAGAACGGTTTCATGAATACGGGCCCTGTACTTGGGACACCCTAGAATTCATATGCAAATCTGTGAAATAATTAAGGTACATGTATTAGAACATGCCGAAATGTAAATTAAAGAAATCATTTCATCACTGTCAATTTCACGCTGCTGTGTAATATCTTAACATTTTCAGTACCATATATTCTTTCCTGGTGGTGGAGATTTGTCACAAGTTCTGTACAAGCTGTTGAGGTTTTCACATATTCTGTACGAACTGCCAAGATTTGTGACATCTTGTGTATCATATGTGGAAATTTATCACAAAAAGATTTCATTTTTGTTTCCAGGACCGAAAACTCATTTATGATTTGGACGGTGAACCAGTCATCGTGAAAAAACCTACATCGAGAGCTCATCGAAACATGCGAAACATGATACCGGTACCGCCGATTGGTGGTATACGGACATTGAGTGCTCGTGCACCGAGTGAGGTTAGTAACTCGTCGCGGAGGAGAAATCAAATAGCGCCACTGCCACTGAAGGAGAACAAACGGCGTGCGAGAAAGAGAGAGGCACAGCAGTGAATCAGAAACAGAGAGAGGCACAGCAGTGAATCAGAAACAGAGAGAGGCACAGCAGTGAATCAGAAACAGAGAGAGGCACAGCAGTGAATCAAAAAGAATGATACTGAGGAAGACTTTTGTGTGATATTATAGCGACGATCTGAAACAAATCTTTCCTGTTTAAACACCTCTTTTTAAGTAATTATGGTTTCTTCATACCTAAATACAGTGAAGTTTTGTGGTATTTGTGTAACTGAATAATTGTATAAAAAGTGTTACATCGCAATCACCGCACTTACAAAACAGAGATCATGTGCTATCCGCACTTACAAAACAGAGATCATGTGCTATCTGTTTGCCAGGCAGTGACAGAGTTGATACTACTTTTAGGAATGATATACTGTATAACATGAAATCTACGCTGTGTACAAACATTCGTGGTAGAATCCCTAAAAGTAAATACAATATGCACATGTCTACTGTCAGTATATCCACGAAAGTTTGTACCACAAAATCATCTAAATGGCTTCAAACCAGAAAGGAAAGTTACCCCACCAACAGTTTGTGTTATCAGTAGGACAGTGGTATTTAGAAGATGCCATTATGGTATAATTTTTGCTACATATTTATGTAGAATTTTAGGAAAGCTTTCCCTTTAGGTAGTTGGTCAGGAAAGTGCGCTATATTGCAAAATCATATTATTCAAATTATTTAAATTTTATCTGTTTGAAGTTTTGTTTATCTATCGTTAATCTACATTTCAAAGACACTATACATTTTTGTGATATTTTCAAATTATTAATACAGGGTTATGTAATGTAAACATGATACATCTAATTTGTTTTATACTACAGGGTTATGTAATGTAAACATGATACATCTAATTTGTTTTATGAAGAAATATTTTGAATGTGATATTGAATTTTGAATCTTGTATTGTTCATTACCGTTTCTACATTATCACAGTGTATTATTGTTTGTTTTGCTTCAATTTTATTCCTGTGAATAGTTTACAAAAATTCAATATATATTTTATCCAGTTATACACATTGTTTACAGTATCATTTACATATACAATATTTTGAAAGCTGTTGAAAGACCTTTTTCCGTCCAAAGTTTTAACTTGTGATATTGAGCGTTACTGACTGAATTTTTACATTGAACGTTTCGTATATTGTAAATTGAACGTAATGTTATGTATTGCAATGTTTTATTCCTCTAGCTTGATTGAAAGAATTTTGTTTGGACAAATATTGATTGAATTTACAAGTACATGAAAATCTTCATTTAAACATTAAGAAAGCTTTACACATTTTTAAAACTCAAAAGCTATAAAACTGAGCCACTTTAAAGCCTGCATTTTCTTATTAAAGTCAAGTTGTCTTTGTCCTTTTGAAGTTTGTTCTCTTTATCTTTGTAGTAATCATCAGTTAACGTTAAAATTTGAAATGTACGTTCGCCAAGAAGATTTTTGTTTGGTTTTCACATTCCAATGGTTGGACAATAGTCTTTTGTATATGTAATTGGGATAGACCAGCAATATGATGTTGCTCTCTGATGAACTTTGGCCACGGCTCCTTTTGCCTATCCAGTTCAACCGGTTTGTCTGTTTTTAAATGTAACATTTTCGGGTATAAATCCTGGCAGACCTGCAAATGTTTATGCAGGCCTTGCAAGGTTTGGTCAATGCTCGCCTTAAAGCAGCATCAGATTACTGAGTCCGACCTAATTTCATAAACGAACAACTCTGGTCCAATTAGTTCAACCCTTTGGATCGCGACTAACAAATGCAGCCCAAGACTTTCAGGGCCTGCATTAATATTAGCAGGTTTATCAGGCTTTATCCCTGAAGTATCACATTTGAAAATAGACTTAACTGTTTATCTGTATAAATGAACAGGCCCTAAGTGTTGGCTGTTGATTCTTTTTTATTTATTTCCTCCATTTCTGTGCAGTATTAGATATTTTTTTTTATTCTATAAGGATTTGTTTGTAGAAACTTTAATACCAGTTTGTTGTTTTTCATAATCCTAACCTGACTGCCAGACATTATTAGTGTTTTTGTGTGTTTTTTATACTAGGATTTAAAAGGATATTAGTGGACACAGGCATTGCTGCCTCTTTATCCACATCAATATTATTTGAAATACAATTTGGTAAACATAAAATATGCCTACACATAAGACGCTGTATGATCGTATTTCAACTCAAGATCTTTCCAGAATTTGTCCAATTTTTTTTCAAAGTCAAATATGTTACGAGATGGAATAACATTTTGTGCGAGACTATTCCAGATATCAATTATTCTTTGAGGAAGTTAATGTTTTCTTATATTTAAATAAGAATGTTCGTTTGAGTTGTTTTTACTTCATCTATATAAAATGGTGACGCAATTTGAAATATATTAGCCATTTCATGAACGGGTGTTTTTTTCTTTTATTTTTGTAATACCATAATAGCCATATAGCCGTTATTTTAAAATATGGTGTTTTTGTTGAATACGGATATGTGTTGTATATAAATGATATGTCCATTTGTCTGTAATTTTTACTGATGTAAGTACCGGTAATACAATATATTTTTTTTCTGTCAAAAGAAAATAACACATATTGAACTGTGCATCTATATCTCTAACATTCCATTAGCATACACTCAATAATCCATGTTTTCCTTTATTTGGAACTATAAAATAGGGAAAATCTGTTAGTCTGATGCTTTGAGAAATTGAATCCTGTTATATGATAAGTTTTCTGTAGCTGCCAATCAACGGATGATGTAGCACTTTGTTTATTTGTCCTGGCCCCATGAGTTTGACATTCGTTTTGCTTCCAGTTGCTATTGAAGACAGTTCAATACTTAATTTCCTGATCAAGAAAAAAAAATAAACTTAAGATCATCATCAATATATAATACAGTCATCTGTCAGTAGATGTCAGTGTTATCAACGTAACCATGGTGACACCACAATAATGATGACATCACCAATCTATTTATAGTGTTAAATCTGTTACTACATGATATTATATGTTGTGTGCACAAATAACCTCTGGTTTTTCATTTAGTTTATTAAGTTAAGCACAGAATTCTGACAATAGCTTGTTTTTGCAGCATAATTTGGCATTCAATTGGCCTGAACACTGGTGAACCATAATCTTTAAGCTAGGTGGTCAGGTGTTCTAGACTAATTCAAAAACAGAATATTGTCCATCAACCCTTTCACCACTGTAGACCATAATGGACTCATCCAGATCAATACATGGTAGAGTCTACTAAAGTTAAGTAGGGATGAAAGGGTTAAATGGACTGGACAATGGGAGAGGAGTGTACACACATAACATTGTCACGCAAATAGGAAAACCTTGTCATAAATGTTTTGGCAAAATTTATGTTATAGATGCATTAGCAATATATTAGGAGGCCAAATATTTGCCCTCTGGCATTTTAAAACAAAATTGTTACCTTACTTTTTTCCAGTATTACAACTTTATAATTATATACAGCCCTTAACTTGAGAGCAAAGATTTGTTGTTGACAAATCTAATCGTGAGCAAAAATTTAATGTTTATCAATATAACAATATTCTCTGTGTATTTGTTTAATATTCTTTTAGAGTAATGTTTTAGCAATAACGGATGATTATTTATATCAAATGAATAATGCTTTTTAAATGAAATGAGAGAGAAACTGAGAGAAAGAGATAGATGGAGAGAGAGTGATACATACGGGGAGAAGGAGAGGGTCTAATATGTAGAAGTAGTTTTTCAACTAAACTGATATTATTTGAATATTGTGCTTTTTTATAAGACATATGCTCAAGAAGAAATAAATCAACAAACCAGTAAAAAGTTAAGTGAATTTTTTTTTTCATAGAAGGAAATCGAGAGATTGTAAGACTGTATGATGGTTTTGCTGAAGTTTCGGATGTATTGTCTCTTGCGTGGGTTTAGGTATACATATTAACAAGATTTTTTAATATTTTATATGCAACTTTCATACATTATAGGTACAACAGGATCTTTTGTAAGGAAATAAAAATTAGAAAGACTATAAACTGATGTTATGTTTTCCATTGGAACACTAAAGATTTAGAGAAGGAAGCAAACAGGGGGAAAGGATAAAAAAGAAATGTGGATAAAAATTTCCCATTTTGCAGCATTAAAATCAAGATACCAAATAGTTGATATTGTATGTCAATAATTTTTCATACAAACAATTTTGCCAACAGACCTTTTCCTTTTATTCCTGATGGTATAAATTCAGTGTTTGATATAAATTTAGTGATTTACTCAATATTTACAATTAAGTAGAGCAGATAAAATTGATTATGTGGTACAAGAATTTGCGATCAGAATTTACGCTGAAATGAATACCACAAGAAATAGAAGTATGAACTGTAAACATACTTAATTTTAGCACACTCAGATTTCAGGGCATTGTTGAATTATAAAAGATTAAGGCATTTACGAATTGGGGCATAAAAAAATATGCCAGAGAGAAAAGTCCAAAATTCTTAGTAAGCACATTCATAATTTGACACAATGTTGAAAGCACTAAATTAAGATTACTGCTAAATTCTGTACTATTACAGTATTCTAGGTATATATCATTAAGGCACAGTAGTCTAGTGGTAGGCTGCCGGGCTCGTGACTGAAGGGTTGCGGGTTCGAGTCACAGCACGGCACTGTGTTGTATCTTTGAGCAAGATACTTCACTCTGCTTGTTCCAGTCTACTCAGCTGTAAATGAGTATGTGGTTGGGCAGAGCTAGGATTGTTGAATGCTAGTTGTGAGCGCCAAAATGGCAGCACCGGCTGTATGCTCCCCAGGGAGTTGAGAAAGATGTTGGCTGGTTGGAAAGGCCCTACAACCACGGATGATAATTTGTGAACCGCTTTGAGACGGCCTACAAACTAGGTTGTGATAAAGCGGTTATAAGAACCTCCAATTATTATTATTATTATTATTATTAAAACACCAGACACGTTTCATATATTTTACATCATCATTTATTTCCATTAATATCATTTGTCATGCATTTATACTTCAATAACAACAACAACCAATAAACAAGCCCTAGTTGTACAGTGCTCTATCACCCTCTCTAATCGTACACCTGTCATCAGTCACGTTCTCCGATTCATATTACTTGTACTCCTTAGTCTTAACATGTGTATCTTTTTGTGTTCAGGAATCAATTTCATGATACATGAAATTGAAGACTGATGAAATGATAATGCAAAAAACAATGACATAAATAATGTCACAGAAAAATAATAATGATAATGTGATGATGAAAAAGGGGTTTATGATGGTGAGGGCTGTGACAATGACTGAATGACTTCATGGCAGAGTTGATAACTATCAAATGTTGCAAAGAAGTTAACTAAATAAATGATGAAATGATAGTGATGATGTTATGAAACAGCTGACCATGCTAACGACACAAAATAAAACATATTATGAATAAATGATGACAACAAAAATGAAACTGACGACTCGGATGATGATTCAATGTCACAATGACAAATAAAACATGTTCTTCCCTATAAAAAGCTTATTTTGATTCAATTTGTAAAAATGTCCCATTTATTGTAAGCTAACCTTGATGATTTCAATAATATGGTCCTCCTATACATCCATTCAAACTGCATAGCATTGCATTTCACCGCTGCAAACTTTGATAATTGTGTTCTGGGAAATCAAACACTAATCAGGTTCTGTGATAATAGCCATATACAAGCCATCACTAATGGTCAGTTTGTGTCGGCGTGAAGTGTTGACAGGTCAACAACACTGACCTTGGAGTGGGTACATGTATGACCTTAGCATCGATTGGTCCAGGTAGAAACACTCTTGTCAAAAAGGTACGTCTTAATGAACTGAGCCTATTTCTTTCATGAAAAAAATAAAATGTTTAAGGACTGAATGGCTCTAACAGACCCTTCAAACACAGATAATTCTTCATGTTTTTCAATGTAAGTCGATATTTCGCTCTTAAACACGGATTGTTGATTCAACACTATCTGACTGTTTATTCTAACAAGCACCGGTCAGTTTTGATGAATATTTCATATTTTCTAATCTCAAACACTGAATGTTGACTTGATCCATTGCATTTCTGTGACAATTGTGAGTTGAATTCCATAGTTTTGCTTTCAAACACTGACTGTTAACTCAATCTGTAGCATTCCAACTCAAACACCGGTCAGTTTCTGTGACTCTGTCCGTATAACATTGATCAGATCCTGGTTGATGAGGAAAATAAACCGCAGACAAGAAATCTGGAAGGAGAGAATAAAGTCCTGACAAAATATTGTGACAGTAGAAATGCATGACACTGAAACTGATGTAAACATTCTAATTAGAAAATAATGACTTTTTAACAATCTTCACGTAGATCTTTCCTTTGGTCATATTTTGCACCAGTTTTATCGATTTTGAGTGAATTATAGTTTTTTTGACACGTCAGTATTCTCTTGTCTTTTTTTTAAAAATGGTTTACTAGACCACCCATAGAGGTAAACAGTCTACTTGGAAAGATTTACTAATCCATGGCTTTGAGGAAATATTCTAACTGAAAGATTTACTAGTCCATGGCCAAGATAATAATTTCATACCAAATCTGGTTATTCCAGGTGAAATAGTATAGAAGACATGCCCCCAGACATACACCTCGGTTGGAGTGCAAACCTAAAGCAGCCGGTTGGGGATAAATAAGCTAAAGGGAGACAACTTTAAGACAGGTACAAAGTGTATAATATTATCCGATTCCAAGAGAAGTGTATCAAAATTTAAGTGTTTCAAAGTAACTATTTCTAGATTTAAACAATCACTTACCTCTACCACAGAGTTATTGCAGAGTTTTTGTTTGTTTCCTATAAGAACTGGGCGACCATCAATGTAGATCGGCCGTTTGCCTTCGTTGGCGATGAAAAAGTCTCCATTATTTCGGAGTTTGATGATACCCTGGCGACGTGAGATTTTCCAGGCGGGTCCTTCAAGCGACAAGTCGACGTCTATCTGATTGTCTTTTGTTGCTCGTCCAAGAGTTATCTACAAATAACACCCATTACTTAGTTTGATTTTTTCTTTTAAAACCAAATTAAACCCGAGACTGAATTATGAACACATCTAAATGTGTGCAATCTTAAGTCTCGGCCTGCAACTAAGTTCACCCACATACTTCATCTAAAATACTGACTAACATCTATATCACAAACCCAAATATCTTAAGTCTCGGCCTGCAACTAAGTTCACCCACATACCTCATCTAAAATACTGACTAACATCTATATCACAAACCCAAATATGTTAAGTCTCGGTCTGCAACTAAGTTCACCCACATACTTCATCTAAAATACTGTCTAACATCTATATCACAAACCCAAATATCTTATGTCTCAGTCTGCAACTAAGTTCACCCACATACTTCATCTTAATTACTGACTAACATCTGTATTACAAACCCAAATATCTTAAATACAAGTGTACCTGTTATCTCAATGTTGTTTTTATCACCTGGTGGAACGCTTTTTATAATGTTAATCAATCTAATATTCAGGTATCAATCACAGCATTCCTCTCTAGTGCTCAATCACCCTGCACACTTCCAGGTATACAGTTGAAGGATAAAGGACCTAAGTAAAATGAACAGCGTTGACTCTACTCCCTGAACCTCTCTAAATCTAATATTCTTTCAAATCCATATTAATTTGACTTAACACAATTTGTTGTGCTGAGGAACCACAAACATCTGCCCCTGTATATTCATACGGTGAAATGACTTACACTGTAAACTGTTAATAACAGTAGATATGGCTAAGTAGTCAAAGAACGAGGATAGGTGGTAATAACAAGCATACGGAGTATTGCTAAAGCAGTACATGTCCCCTACCGGCCCCCGCTAGCTATTACACTGTAATGATTTATAAAAATGGTGCCCTTTGGTGTTAAAAAATCCCTTAAGGATTTTCTAAAATTAGTAACGGTGACCTTGATCCGACAACCCTGAAAGTGGAACTTGTCCGAGATATTATCATTCCAAATTCCTCAAGGAATGACGCCCTCCCCCCCCAGATAACAAGATAACAGATAATGGTTAGGCAATGATTGAAACTAAATCAATACAATGGCATCTTGTTTAAATTTATCATACTTAATATGGATTAAAGTTTTAACTATTGTCAGGATCATTTAGACTTACCTCCCTTGATCTCATAAGGTAACGAACCAGACGACCCCGGAGTACTGCCAAGGTCTGGTTATCAAAGTCTGGTGGACTTATACCTGGAACAGGAATAATTCTTTAAGTAAAGTTATTCCAGCAGTGATATTTGAAATATATCTATAGTCAAACTGTATATTATACAAGAGATTTTTATTGATTTTGTTATAATTATTTTAGTATGAAAATGATTACCAACACAGAATACACTAGGCATTATACACTGCACATTATACACTGCAGCAGCATTGCTTATACTAAAATTTCCATAAAATAATTTGAACATTTCCACTTGACACTGTTGGTTGATATATGAGTACCTGTTTTAAGGATTGCCCCTGCAAGGAGTTGGTCTCTATACAATTACAAAACAGACCTGTGTGCTATTTTGTTTTCTGCTGATCTGCCTTTTTAGACAGCGAAAGTGTTCAGGGCAACACTGAGAACAAGTAGTAGGAGCTTCAAACATACTTGGGGTTTGCTGCCAAAAAGACTCATTGAGTTTTCAAATATGATCATGCAATATTTTACCCACCAGGGTGGGGATGACTGTTGCCTGTATGGTAACAGAGTTGTTGTTAACTCGTTAACCCCTGAAGACACATTTGAACTGTTCCAATTCAAAGGTTGGAATATTTCATTATGAAACTTCAGGGGTGAATGAGTATGACTGTATTATGATCTCTGACCTCTTTTTTTGAATTACAACTCACCAGTCACGCTATCAACAAGCACCTGCCATTTGGGTAGTTCTTGTTCTAAATGACGAATTTCTTTCTTGTTTCTCCTGTCTGACACATTGAGTTCTGTTGGAAAGAAATGCATATTATCCCATTATAAGGAGAATTATGACTGCAACAGTTAGCTTACGATTTCATTAGAACCGAATAATTCCAATACACCAAAAGTGTGTGAAGGAAACACAGCTTTGGCACTAATTGTTGTAAATACTAAGGCATTAATACGTTAACAGGACGATACCTATCACAACACATATGGTAACAGTAGGGCTGCAACAATACCCATTCCTCACCATATGATACGAATCGCAGTACAATGCTTACGATATGATACGTATCACAATACAAATATCTGCTTAAAAGGTCAACTTCATTATGATTAAGTGCAGGATGTTGTAAAAGACTTCAATAGTAAATACTCGTATTGATATACATTTGTGTATAATATCTAGTACTTTTGGGTATGACTGCACAGTGGACCACATCTTTACTGAAGGATTAAAGAAATATAAGTACACTGTTTTAGGAGTTTTATAAAAATGCATTGATAATCTAAGTGAGTTAGTGTATCACGATACAGACAAACAATACAATTTGATATAATACACAAGAAAGTATCGTGATACTATACAATACTATATATCGTTGTAGCCCTAGGTAACAGTAATCTTTTGATGTGCATGCCAAGCTGGAGCCGTCACTCCTCATGTTGGACCGATATGTGTAGACTTTATTCAGGAATGACAAACCCTGAATTATCGTAGGTGTATCATAACCCCCCAAATAATATTGTGTATTGTACCGTATTCAAAATATCGCGATAAATCGCTACAGCCCTTATAAGTACAGTGCTTTATTTTACAAATGCCATTCTATAACTACAATAAATATCGCAATATTTTCAAAATGTTTTAACCATGCAACGTTTTTAAAAATCTAGATATAATGCCCCGCCTTTCATATGCCACTTCGCTTATCACCAACATATCCCAAAGTACTCCTTTATACATTCCCCTTATTATATTGCCAAATCCCTTTTATCATGCCAAAATATCTCAATGAAATCGTGGCAATACTTAGAGATTTGACTGTATATTCCACCAAAGTTTAATTTGCCCTTCCATTTAATATCTTGCTTACGGTAACTATCTTGTGGGATAAATAAATGTCAAAATTACATACAAAGATGTACAGATATCTGGGGATAGATTTTTAATTTTCTAAACCTTCTGCACTAAATTTGAACACACAAACAAACACAGAAACTGTATTACCTTGTTCTAGCGTCTCGTCCTTCGGGTCCCGGACATCGTCATCATTCATCATATCCTCTGCATCTGAGAAATTCAGAACATGGTCCCCACGAGGCATCGGTTGTACTGAAAACAATATTAATACTTGATTATTAACAAACAATAACTTACAACAAATTAAAAGGTAACATTTATTACTAGACATTTTGATACGAAAAAAAAAAATGAATAAAAAAATAAAACTGTATCTGATTGGTTGATCATTCTGTAAAACCGTACCTGATTGGTCGGGGAGTAAGTGGTACTGTTTCATTAGTATCCAATGGTTGTGAAGAGCTTTGGTTGTGCGGAGTGGGTGAAACACGTCAGATTCTTTCTCCAAGAGGTCTTGGAAGGTGTCTGTTGTTGGCTGACTTGTCTGTTTTCAAAAACAACAGGGATGTCTTCAAATAGGATTGTGTCCTTATATGTGATTGCTGATCGTACATCATAGTAACCATTACATAAATTCAAATGAAAAAGCTTCACTGATATGGAGTCAGAAGGAATGGGAATAAGTTTGGGTTTCTTTTCATCCTGTGATTTACAGAACTATACAAAGAAACATATTTTATTACAAATTAAATATCAAAACAAAGAAAAAATGTCAACATTTTCAACTTTCACCAGGAATTCCGCAAATAATGGTAACTACTGAGTTGTTGTATCATAGAAATGGTCAGGTGTTGAAATAACTAGGGAATGTGGATTTAATGAAGAGCAAGCTGACACTACAGACAGAAAGTCAAGCGGTCATCATGAGATATGCTGTTGACACTGCATCAAATTTTAACTCACAGATGCAATGGTCCCCAGTAACGTTTCCTCCTCCTTGCTGAAGAGAGCTTTACCCTGGACATTATTCATGATATCGGGATGGAGTTGTTTCATAGCCTGGATAGCGAGTCTGAAAACAAATTTCATTTCCATATAAAAGTTTGTCCTAATATGAAGGCTTTTTATTGTATAATTTTCTTTTTAATTGCGAGTAAAAAAAATCATGAATGAAAACTTCAGATCAGAAATAAATCTGTATCTCACTGGAGTTATATCTTACCATTATACTCTATAGAAAGCTATCCAAATTATCTTTGCTAACATAAATGGTATTTTGACTGACTGCAGATATAATTGTCTAGAACTTCAAATATTGAAATGATAAGTTGTATTCAATATTCAACATAAGCTTTAGGTATCTACCTACTCACTTCTATTCAGCTCGCACATCAGATTGTTTAAAAGCACATTAAGTACTTACCAGTGTGGTACATTAATTTGTTTTGAGCACACATTTAGTAAGAACTTGTGTTCACTTAAAAACCAAAACGGATATTCGATTGAATTCCCCATATCAGATAACTTTATTTCGTATTAAATATGCTCAATGATATTTATTTCCATTTTTTTTTAAAATATGACCTTGACAATGATTTTTATAGCAGTCTAGTGACCTTTTCCTACACTTACTTTGATATGACAGGGTCGTAGAGTAGAGCATACCATCTCTCCTGGATTTCCTTTAGCGTGAATCGGCATGAAAACTTGACCCCTAGATGTACCGCTGTGAGATCATTGGTCTGTTCATAAACAAGAGGCAGACAACTTACAGATGGCAAATAAAACCAAGGATTCGTGTAGAATCAAATTTTAACCATTTATAGGATCTACATATATATAGATCTGCCTTTTTTGCAATGAAAAAAGTGGGAATCACATGGAATATGATACTTTCCTTCTAAATCAGTTGATTCAAAAGGTTTTGGCCAAAAATGTTCATGCATAATTAAAAACAATTAAGTTAATGCTTAAATGCCACAAGTTTCATCATTTCCAACTGCTTAATTAATTTTCTTCCCTGTTATCCAATTGCTGGAGAATTTCTCATGAAATGATTATACATGATCTTTTTTCTATAAAAAGGAATCATTGATTTTCATATCACAAGTTAATCAGTTTTTAAATAAACAGAGCATCTGTGATCTATACTTTGTTTGTTTGTTTGTTTGTTTATGTTTAACGGCCCATCGACGGCTGTGGTATTTAGGGCCATGGTAATTTATCTATTTATTTTACTTTTTTAACAAACATGTGAATAGCGAAGATAAAATCAGATAAAATGGTTCATTTTAAAGGTATTCGCATTGTATGTGTAGATAATAAAAATAATAAAAGGGAGTTAAAATAATAAAAGAGATAACGAATAGATGATATGGAATATGCGATATATATATAACGTCAAAAATGATAAGGTTGGTTAAAAGACATCAGAGTCTATAAAATAGACCGATGTCTTTCAAATAGTTAAATAATGCCTTCGAATCCACGGAACTGAAAAGTGTTTTCATATCCGGGACTCGGAAGTAGTTATCACGAATGTGTTTAAAATCGGAACATTCTATTAAAAAATGCTCCACTGTAAATGGAGTGTCACATGCGTGGCATGAAGGTATATCTTCTCGTTTTAAAAGGTACGAATGAGTAGGATATGTGTGCCCAGTGCGGAGCCGAGCGAGGACAACTTCCTCTCTACGATCTTTCCGACTGGGAATAGATGTTTTAAGTTTCGGTTGTATCTTAAAAAGTTTGTTGTTGGTCTCCAGAGACCAGCGTTTCTGCCATTCATTTTGAATGGCTGTACGAATAGTAGGTTTAAAATCTGTGTATGGTAGTTTGATATTTGTTTGTTCGAGATTCAATGCATTTTTTGCTTCCCTGTCAGCAAATTCGTTGCCTTTTATTCCGACATGGCTCGGAATCCATAGTAAAGTTATTTTAGACTTTTTTAATATACGAGATATTCGATGAGCAAGGTTTTGTACGATTGTGTTTTTAGGATCTCGTAACTGTAAACTCTGTAGGACAGATAGAGAGTCTGAACAAATAATTGCCTTTTTAATGCGGTGTTCATCGATATGGTCGAGGGCCAAACCAATGGCGCATGCTTCAGCAGAAAAGATGGAGGCGCCGTCTGGTAGTCGGACTGAAGTGCAAGTATTGGCAGTACAGCAGGCTGCTGCCACTTTCTCACCTTCTTTGGAGCCATCGGTGTAAAGTTGTGTATGAGAAGGGTAATTCGAAATGCATTCCCGAAAGGAGGATTTGTGTTCTTCGGGCATAACACTTGATTTCCCTCGCTCATGTAATGTAAAGTTAAAATCGGGGGTTTGAATGGTCCACGGAGGAACATCAGATATGTTAAATTCAGCTATGTCCGTCAATTTTATGTTGAGTTCTTGCAGGAAATTCAAAATTCGGATACCAAATGTTGGCAGAAGTTTTTGGTTTTGCGTAAATATGTTTTGGTATTTGGGGTTGAATACTTGGTTGAAAGCAGGATTTTTAGGGTTTGATTTTAATTGAGTTGCAAATTGTAATGAAAGTTTTATTCTTCTGTCATAAAGGGATGGTTCATTTGCTTCCACGTACAGGCTTTTTACAGGTGTTGTTCGAAAAGCTCCCAGGGCAAGACGTAGCCCTTGGTTATGGATTGGATCTAGCATCTGAAGGTACGAACTGCGCGCTGACCCGTATACCATAGAACCATAATCCNTCCTGTTTAGACATTTCAGAAAAAGTTGAACCAATGCAGACTTTGAAGTGTCTATTTGATAGGTAATTGGATATAAAATTGGGAAGGTTTCCACGTACACCTTGGTGTCACGTATAGTGAACATTTCACTGGTTGTGCTTTATGAATCCGTAAACAATCTATACTGACCACCCGGGTTGTATATAAAACACTGTTTTGAAAAGGCCTCAGAACAATGAAAGGCTTCGTCCAAATTTTATTTCTTTGATGACATTTTCCCCCTGATTTTTTTTCCAGATTATTGTATACCGGAAAATTTTCGCTGAAGTTAAATTTTTGCCTTTTTTCCCCTTCTGAAATGAGGGCCAATTTCTCATTACATCAAACATCAGTCAACAAAACTATTTACATAGCAATTAAATGTGAAAGGCAAAACTAGCACTTGGCGAACACAGGCGAAGGGCGAACATTTCCTGGTACAGGATGATAGTACCTTCATGTACCTTTAACCCGGTGTAAACACTGATTGGCAATGATACAAATAAATAACAATATTTTCTCTTAGCAAGTTTTATTCACTTGTAAACAGTATCATTAGACACTATAATGCTTTTAAGCAAAACATTTAAAAAAAAAAGGAATATTTTTCTTAATGAATACAAATAATCAAGATATTTCTTAATACAGAATATCATACATTTGTAAGAGAATGAGTTTTCTAACTGAGTGAAGAGTGCCATTAATTCTGACAACATATGAAGATGAATTGAGCATTAATACATACTGACCATACAACTGTTTTACATGTATCAACTCTTAAGTACAAACCCTACCATACTGGACTATTCTATGCTACGCTATATATATATATACTACTGCACCATACTACTACTGTACTCAAACTTGATAAACTATTCTAAATAAAAACAATACTATACCATAGTTTACTATAATATAAATACAACATGAACTAAATATAACGTCTTTCATACAACTTCAAATATAACTCTTTATCAGCAAATATAACACATTTGTATCAAATGCAAATATAACTCTTTATCATAGTATCAGCAAATATAACACATTTGTATCAACTGCAAATATAAATATATATCATACTATCAGCAAATATAACACATTTGTATCGACTGCAACTCTATATCATGCTTTCAGCAAATATAACATATTTGTATCAACTGTAAATATAAATCTATATCATACTATCAGCAAATATAACACATTTGTATCAACTGCAAATTGAACTCTTTATCATGCTATCAGCAAATATAACTCCTCCCATACCAACTGCAAATATAACAATTTTCATACCAACTTCAAATATAACTTCTCTCATACCGTCTGCAACTATAAATCCTTCCATAACAATTGCAAATAAAACATCTTTTTTACCAAAAGAAAATATAACTCCAACCATAGAAAATCTACCATAACAACTGTAAATATAATAGCTTCAATACCAACATCGAATATATCTCAACCTTAAACCTTGTTACAAACTCTAAATAAGCCTTTTATATTAATAAATGTCCCGATAGAATCCTCAAAACAAAACATTGTTGTTAGAATACAAAGGGTTTCTATTGGTAGTTTTCAATAGAAATGTAATTACAGTAGATTGTTGCATTAGACAGGTTGTCGGAATACTCAAGGTCAGAATAGACAGGTTTCCCTATATATACTTAACTCTCCATACCAATTACCACTATCCTTGTTTTCCAAAAAATGATATTAAATCCTATCACTCACATCTAACATTACCGGTCTTATTAATACCACTGTATTTTTATATATGTTTAATATTAACATTTCACTGGAGTATCAATGCTAAGTAACCAGCCTGTGAAAATGGTCCTGTGGTGAAAGTAGTTGAAATTAGGTTTCAGTGTATGATGTTTGATGGGATGCAACAGGACGGGACGGGCTAGGATCTAATCCCTGTGGTGGTGGATTAAAGATATTATTGTGGAAATCAATAAATATATATCTTTTATATATAACTCTTTGCTATGAGAAACGAACAGGCAACATCAAGCCAAAAAATGTTGAACAAATTGGAACTCTTCTTTATTGAAGATAGAACCGACGACTCTCTACCTTTAAGATATCATTTTAAAAACCATATCAGCTGTAACAAAATTTTAACTATTTTTTTAAATTTATTTTTTATAAATTTCAAATTATAAGGTTCTTTTTTCCTTTTGTAAAGATATAAGTTAGCTTAAAAAAACCACAAAAAAACCCAAGGTTTAGTTGTGGAAAAGCTCAGCTTTTACTATATATATAAACATGATTTGTGAACTTTGTGGAAGTAACTTTGGCAAAATGTGTGGTAAGATGTCACAACTTGACAATAACAAACATGTAACTGGTAATGAACAGACATACCAAAAGCAATTAACACATTAAAAATCTTTTGACTAAATGCACTGATTTGGTTGAACACTTTAAGTAAAAAGAAAACACACATATAAACTTATGTAAAAATATAAATACATACTTTATCAGGTATGATCCAAAATAAGAACATGAACTAAATTTAACTACTTAATCAAATTAACTACAACTAATGCTAACTCAGTTCACAACACTTAAGCAACTTTCTTAATTAAAGAAGACTAATCTTAACAGACCATCAATTCAACTTAATTATCATATTAAACTAAATCCAAGAAAAGCACAATAGCTAACGAAGTACACGATTGTGACATAAATATCTAAGGTATCTATTATGTCATGGTTATTTCACACTTTTGATAAAAAATAAAACAAAAAAGATATTATTTGGTACAAAAAAAATGAGATAAGAAGCATTTCTGTTAAATATCAGTGGTTAAATTCAATGCCAATAATTTGAGAACAGCCAAAATTCTTAACATTAATGCCGTTTTTACCTATCATTCTTCAAAATTAGTTCAATATGAATGTGAAAGAAACTCTGAACATCCTGATGAGGACTTGACAGCACAAAGCATGTCACAATATTTTGAATGCTGTTTGATGGAAAAATTTGCTACATAAAACTGAATGCTAGGTTAATGAGACAACAGTTCTCATAGAAAATGTAAAGACATTAGTGTTCTTAGGTAGATAATTGAACCATAATAAATATTTTTGTCACAGAAATGTGAAAATGAAAGTTTTCATGGGTACATAATCCAATCACATTCAATATTCTTTATCACAGAAATGTGAAGATATTATAGTTTCTTGAGTAGATAATCTGATCCCAATAAAATTTCTTTGCTACAATTCTGATAGATCAGTCTCAAATTCCCTTTATCAGCAGGAAATTGAACTAATAAAACCAGATTGAATCATCCTGGGTACAATTCTGTTGCATGACTCGAATCCCTTTATCTATGGAAAAGCAAGCGAGATATCAAATTGAATAATCTTGAATACAACTATGGTATAATTGAATCAAAATGAACAAACTTTTGAACACTTTTGAGGAGTCACAATTGGTTCACGATGAACATGCTTTTGAACACTTTCAAGGAGTCGTCAGAATCAAACCACAATGAACAAACTTTTGAACACTTTTGAGGAGTCACAATTGGTTCATGATGAACATACTTTTGAACACTTTCGAGGAGTCGTCAGAATCGAATCACAATAAACAAACTTTTGAACACTTTTGAGGAGTCACAATTGGTTCAGGATGAACATGCTTTTGAACACTTTCAAGGAGTCAGAATCGAATCAAAATGAACAAACTTTTGAGGAGTCACAATTGGTTCACGATGAACATGCTTTTGAACACTTTCGAGGAGTCAGAATCAAATCAAAATGAACATGCTTTTGAACACTTTTGAGGAGTCACAATTGATCCACGATGAACATGCTTTTGAACACTTTCGAGGAGTCAGACTCAAATCACAATCAACAAGCTTTTGAACACTTTATAGGAGTCAGTATGATATTTTTCTTTCCAGTGTAAAGTTGTATAATCTAACTTTACTGAACCAGCTCTGCGACACCACCAATATGGAAGCAGTCTTGAATTCCTGCTATCCACTGGAAAGCAGAATGAGTCAACTTCCGCTGAAACAGGGTCTTAAGCGAATCGTTGATGAAGGGTATGCACCTTTCAGACCAGTGAAACTCTTCGATGGGGAATCTGTGAAGCACAACATCTTTCACTGCGGAGATCTTGGTTGGGTTCAGAATCTGGGACTGCATCCGACGAAATCTTCGGTTCTGCGATTCAATCTTCCTGCCCTGCAGCTCTCCTATGGTGAAGACCATGAAAACCAACTCGCGTGCAAAGTACCTTGGGGAAACATGGTTGGATGCTGTGGCGATGGCCGCTGGTAAAATTTGACAAGTCTGATAATCGTAGGCATTTTTCACACAGACTTTGGAAAACAACAATATCTCTCGAACCTTCTTCTCGTTGATCTTGCCTTGGAAAGCAATCGGAGGAGTGTCTCTAAGCTTCCGTAGTGGGTCATACCGGATCGTAAGATGGGTAGGCATTACTTTACCTAAAGGTTTCTTCTGGCTGGTGGAAGTGCTTCCGACAGATTTCGATGTCGATGGTTTCTCCTCACAGGTGATTTGTACAGGTGTGTGTTTTGTAGTCATCTTCTGGACGACACGTCCGACGATAGTCTCCTGGGAATGGTGACTTTGGTTGTTGGAAACATTTCCTCCTGACTGTATCGTGACCTCTGATGAACCTGTCCTGAGGGTATCCATGCCACTGGACCATTGACGACGTTTTGGAGGGGTCCCAACATTATCTGTTCCATGTGATGATATGTATTCCTTGTCTTGGATAACCCAGTTGACGTCAGTTTGTATGGGTCTGAGCCTCTTTCTGGAAATGTGTACCTTTAGGGGCAAATGTTGCAGGTTCTTATTCAAGGTTTCTTCTGCTAGAATATCCTTCACAGAGTTGCAGCATTTGTGGTCTTCAGCAGGAAGATCGTTGATGACATTTGGCCATTTTGAAGGATTTTCACCCATCCTGACATCTGTGACTATCTTCGGACATCTCCTGACCTGGTCACTGTCCGACTTCCTAGAACTGCCTCCTATTGTAGACATGACTTCTGTCATGGTACGTTCTGTCAGAATATCTTTCCACTTGTCCTTCAAAGTGGCATGAGGGCGTACACTTACAGGGCCCGATGAGCCTGGAACATTGCTGGACAACTTGCTGGACAGGAACATCTTGTTTCTGGTCACCTGAGTGGGAATTCTACTTGAATGGACAGGCAACTCAATTGCTGTCCATCCGGGAAGATTCTTCGAGGATGAGTAAGAGAGGGAGCTTGGGACGACTGTAGAGGTTGATGTATCTGAAGTTATCCCAAATGTTCCAAAAGGTACTGGGGAATTTGCAGCACAAGATCTCTTCAATCTAGATGTAGAACAAGGCTTGTTTATCTGTTGACTGGGAGTCTCTTTCTGTTTATCCAACGGCTGTTCACTGAAGGACACTACTGTTGCGGAAGGACTGGATACAGTTAGTCTGGTAGCTGCTGAAGTAGGATTGTCCAGCATCACAGGTTTGATGGACGGACCTTTTGAGGAGGAAGCAGACTGGTGACTTTCCATGTCAAATTCATCATCAAGGTTGCCATTAGTTACAATGACCAACCTGTCAGGTGTTGAACTCCCTGAATCACTTGTTTTGTCATGCAGTGCGACAGGTTCTAGGGAGGTGGCAGCTTCTGGTGTAGTAGCACTTCCTTGGGATGTTGGGGCTTGAAATGTGGTGGTATCTCCTAGAAAAGTGGCAGCATCTTGAGAAGTTGTAGGTCTCAGCAAGGTGGCAATTCCTTGGGAAGTGGTAATGCTCTGTGAAGGAGTGGAGAATGGAGAGGTTACCACGACTGAACTTGTAATAGATGTAGATGAAGAGGTTGATACTGAAGTTGATCTTTGTTCATACTTCACGTTGGTCAGCTGAAGGGAAGGTGTACCAGCAGTGGTCTGAATTGATGATACACTGTAGGTGTCTGTGATTTCTGCATTCTTTGTGATCTTCATCACCAGTCTGGGAGGTATCAGAGAGACCTTGGATGGACGACTGATCCACTGTGTTGACTTGATTGGTTCTGGAGTTTTGGGCAATATAGTCTGACTGTACCTGCTGTCAGAGGAAACATTGGTGGCACGGAGCTGTACATGCTGCGTATTTGAAGAACTTGGCAGAACAATCTCAGCTTGTTGACAAATTCTTGCAGTTGACATCTGAGGTTTGGGTGTAGATGTCTGGATAGCATTGACTCGAGTGGTGTTGATCAAAGAACTGGCAGAGGTCAAGGTCACAACACGATTTTCCTTCGCTATTGGAACTGAAGGAGACACAGACAGTGTGACAGGTAGAGTGTATGTTGCCAAGAGTTGACGCTTGTGAGCGATTCTACGGACAGGCCCAGGTGAAGAAGCAAGGGATGCAACTGGCCTCTGACCCGAGGATATATGAGTCAATGTGTTCTTTGATTCAATAACATCAGCTTTGGGACCTCTGCGTTGGATTTTCAAAACACTGACTGGAGAAATTTCTTCAGCACCGAGGAGTCCTTGGGACTTCATATCACTAGGCATTGATGAATGTTCTGGTTGGACGCAAGGCAGTATCTTTATCTTGTCATGGGGTGTGGTATAGCGAGAACCAGCTTCAGGAGAGGTTACACAATGTTCTGATTTGGGACAACATGAAGTATCTATCCTTGGTGAAGACTGTTTTGTAGGAATGTCGATAGACTCAGTTGAATTTGAAGAGGGTTCATTACTTTCAAACTTGAGTGGAAGACGAAGTACAGCAGGAGATGAGGAGGTCCGAGGCTCTGTCAATTCTCCATTCTTCACACTGTTGATGAGTAGTTCTATATCCTTTCTTGACGGAGGTCTCTGCCCAGGTTTAAAAGGTTTCTTTGAGGTAAGAATGCTTGGTTTGGCTGAAGACTTATCCTGCTGGGTCATTCTGTTGCCATCTTGAGTCATGCCAAGATGATCACTCAAGGAAACATCTTCAACTTTCATTTTCTTCATAATGCGCTGGCTCACTCTGGGAGAGGAAGGCATCTTCAGACTTTTACCTTCTGAAGTTTTATTCACACTGGACTGGCCACCTCTGGGAGAAACAGGTGTTTTTGGACTGCTGCTTTCTGACATTTTATTTGCACTGGACTGGCAACCTCTGGGAGAGACAGGTGCTTTCGGACTTCTGCCTTCTGGAATTTTCTTCCCGCTGGACTGTCTTACTCTGGGAGAGGAAGGAGTGTTTTGACTTCTACCACCTGAAGTTTTCTTCACAATGGACTGGCCAAGTCTAGGGGAGGTAGATGTGTTTGGACTGCTGCCTGCTACCATTAGATTGGATGAAGTTGTGGACACTGTTGGCTTTGCCTGTGAAGACCTCCTGTTGGATGGTGACTTCAATCCCTGCTCAACTAGCGGTGACGATCCCAGACCTTTCAGCATTTCTTTCTTTGTTGTTGATGATGATGGGGATGGATCTTTCCCGTTCAACTCTACCCACTGGAAACCGTCCTCTTGTTGCCATGGTGATGATCCTGCATCTCCAAGTTTTATCTGTTTTTTTCGAGATGTCAGTTCCTTGCACTTGGTCATAAATTTCCGAGCCTTGTGAAGAGGGTTGAAAGACTTTATAGAAAATGTTGAACAAGTCTTGACATTCACAGTCTCGTCGATGACCTGTCTGGTGTCCTTTGTAGACCTCGGCATCAAACATGGCGGGTTTGATGGAGGTGAGGAATCTGTCATCATGTTGGTTGGTGGTCTCGGTATTGATGTTGACGGTAAATAACTTGTAGCTGTGCATTTCGGTCCGTTCAATGGTGGCGAGGATATTGGTACAGTATCTTGAACCATGTCCCTTGACACTCTTGATGACGGTGGTGATACCAATATGGTGCCGCTACCTACGGATGGATGTCGGACTGCATGAACTGAAGCTGGTCGCTTGTGATTAATGATGGCAGGTATAGATGTGCCCTGGGGTGGTGGTGTGTCAGACTCTCCATACATTGATGTGTAATGGTCCTTCTTGTGATCTGTATGAACCCATGGGGGTCTAGAAGACGGGGATTCACGACTTGGTTCACAGGTGGTGCTGGCAGTCATCTCCTGTCCTACAGGGCGAGATCTTGATGCAAAGAACGGGCTGGTTGGGTCCATGTTCTGTTCGTGTGCAGGGTATGACCAGCTTGGGTTTGGTGAAGATGACAAAAGGGGGGCTGACTGAGAGGGTGTTGACGTGAAATCCACTTCTGGCAATGGCTGCATGAAGTAATGTGTCGTCACACTCCCTGGCGATGGATGTCTGTCATGTTGGACGTTACGGTTGCTGTGTCTGTTACGTCTGAAAGGACGACGGGCAAAAGATCTGTAGTTGTGATCACGATGGAAGTTTCTGTGGTATCGTCTCTGATGATCAGGCGGTGTCGGACAACTGTTGTGCATTTCAAATGGCGGCAGATGACGATAATCTTGATCTTGCAAACTGTTTCCCCCAAAAGGCAATCCTATATGACGGTCCCGCATTTCCGAACTCAATACATGCAAGGGATCCTCATCTCTAAGAGCAATACATTGCCGTCTCAAATCAAAACTACCTCTGGTCATGATAGCAGGCTCCCTTGACCTGGGTCCAAATAGGGGTGGAGATAGGTGGAAGGGTGGTGTGGTGTTTCCATGTCCTGGAATAGATGTAGGAGGCCTAGGGGGAACCATTGGTGGTTGCAACTGTAGGTTGCTTGGAACTGGAGATGGATGCCAGGGAATGTTCTCAGGGGACAATACATGTTGTTGCTGCCAACTCTCATCCCCATGAGTCGATACAAGAGGTGAGTACCATGGTTGGTTGCCAGGCGATGACAAAGGGGATGGTTGCCTGATCTGGACCTCCTGCTTTGGAATCATCCTGTAGCTGTCATGGACACCCGACACAGTAACTGGTTTCACATTGTAGTTAGGAATGACATTATGCTGTGAATTTCTTTGTGTTGTCGTCGAGTCAGTGGTCGTCTGTAGTTGCTGGGACATGAAATCTTTTCTCTGGAAAGGAGGACTCTCCATCTCAACGGTGCTGTCCTTTGTCAACTTCATCAGCTGGGCTCTCTGCTGAACACTTTGTCTCTTCAAATTCTGTATTTTCCTGAGGGACGTTCCACTAAACATGCGAATAATCCACACACAATTTGAACAACATCGACAGGTCAGGACATTGGACTTCAGAAAACTGCTACCAAATGTCATAGCTCTCTCGATATCTTCAACATTCTCCTTGGTCTGGGATAGCTGGCTGTTGCTCTTCCGGTATGTAGTCATGTCCAGCAGGTATTCAACATAGTTGTAAGTTGTATTAACACTGTGAATGAATCTTGCAAACGGTTTCATGGAGATAGATGCGAGAGTAACACTGTCAACGGCAACAAGTTGGTTAATTTTAACCGCAATCTTGTCGATCTTGTGAAGGAAGCTCAGTATGTGCTTGTCAAACTTCATCAATCTGCTAGATAGGTTTGGTATACACACGCAGGGATTGGACATGGAACGAAAGTAAAATTTAGACATCAACATCTGATTGGGGCTATCTGGTTCTGATTGTTGTCTCTGCAATGGCCGTACTCTCCGAAGGGGCTTATCAGCTGAATGGTCCAAAGGAGTATCGACATCACTCACCGAAGTGCTGTTAGAGTCTACAACATCCGCGATCAGTCTGTCGTCAGGATTGTATGGCTGCGACATCTGACGGTCGAGGAGTTCCTCCATGTCCTTTTCGGTGATAGATAGATCTGTCTGTACGTCCTTCAGAAGGTCACACATACCTTGAAGGAGGCGCTCGTGCTTCTCGCACTCCATAGTGGCCATCAGACACACCTCAGCGTCAAAGATTCTTCTGTCTCCAGAAGTCACTACGGGTCCTGAAGTAGAAAATATTTACAAGTACTCAGAAATTACACACAGTAGAGATTCATTAGTTTGGAATTTGTAAAGCAAACTTTCTGTTTCATGTCTATTTCAATATTACACAAGGACACACTGAATTTTGTCTATATACCTGCCCGTGTTTTAACAGATTTATTGAATCCATACCATGATATTGCTTACTCTTTCCTTTCCTTTTTTACTCAAACACCTTTAACCTAAATCACATTGATCCCAAAGAATTTGTTTAAAAAATAAATGAAAAAAAAATTGAATATATTTCCAAGATGAACAATTAATATTTCTGACTATAAAACAAGAGCAATGTGAATGGTAATATATGTTCCTTTTGTTTGATGTGTTGAAAGTCAGGTAAGAAACATGCTGAATAATAAATTTATTTGATAATTTATTTTATAAGTTTTTAGGTGGGTACATGTAACCTACAATTGATGTTGTATATTTAGTATAAATATCACTCAAGATTGGAAGTAACCAAGATCAGAAAGGGGGCATAACTCCTATAAAATTAATGGAGATCCAAAATAATTTGCAAGCTGATCACGACTGTAGGGTACTGATAACATGTACAAAGTTTTATAAGTATCAGTCAAGAAGTACTTCAGATGTAATTTATGTAAGGATGTCAGAAAAAGGACATATTTTGTTTATTTATTTATTTATAGTATTAATGGCCCATCAACACAAATGAGGAATTCAGGGTCTATAAACGGTAGATTAAACATGCAACAGGAAATAACATTAAACAAATGGATAAAGAGACATAAATGCTCAGTTAACAAGAGGCCCATGGGCCTTAACGGTCACCTGATATATTTATACAGAAAGTTGATTTTGTTTTTAACATGTGCAGAAATATTATTCAAAGTGACAAAAAACAATAAAACCACCTTATTCAATATCTAGCATACAGATTTAAGACTAAAAAGTATTTGAAATTAGCATCTCTGATTCTAAACAAGGAAAATGAAGAAATTTTAGCACACTGACTCCTTTGGGCCCCATCCTACAGCCTGGGGGGTCAGTCTGGGCTCATATGTGCATACCATCAAACTGCTATATCCAATACTGATAATGCGTACCCAAATTGAATAACTTCCAATGGAAATTAAACAAATGTTGGTCCAAAATGTGATTTCCCTATATAAACTTTAGGAAAATTTACCCCCTTCCCAGGGGTAGACGTGAGACACCAGGGTCGTGAAATTCACAGTTTTGGTAAACCACCTCAAGACCCTTCCATCTATGAAGAGTATTTGATTCTACCATATCTGGGTCTTGAGAAGAAGATTTTTGAAATTTCAGTAAATTCAACCCTTTTTTGCCCCACCCATCAGCCCCTGGGGGTCAGTCAGGGCTCATATGTACATACTATCAAACTGCTATCCAATACTGATAATGCTTACCCAAATTGAATAACTTCCGATGGAAATTAAACAAATGTTGTCCAAAATGTGATTTCCCTATATAAACTATAGTAAAGTTTACCCCCCCTCCCCAGGGGGAAACATGAGACCCCAGGGTAAAGAAATTCACACTTTTGGTAAAGCACCTTAAGACCCTTCCATCTATGAAGATCCCTGGGGGCTTGGGACTAAACCGGCCAATGTTTTTGTTGACCTTTGTCCATGGAAGGTTCCTGCAAAATTTCATTGAAATTGGTTCAGGGGTTTTGGAGAAGAAGTCAAGAATGTAAATTGTTTACGGACGGACGACGACGGACAAAAGGCGATCGCAATAGGTCACTTGAGACTTTGTCTTAGGTGACCTATTTTTTTTATCACAGGTGCAATCTTCGGCGTATGTTGACCTTATCAGTGGAGTTTTATGAAATATGGCTGAAAACTGAAGGAGTTGTGCACACAAGATTGTGTCTACCAATGGACAGACAACCTGATTCTAGTATATAATATCCCTACTACTTTGTAACAGAGAACAGAATTAGGTGAGAAATACTAATTGGTAGCATGGGCTCTCAATTCTCTAATACAGAAATCTGGGAACAAACTCCCATGGTGGAGAACTACGATTTTGTGAAGAAGGAAATGATGTTTTATTCTTAGAGCCATTAGTTTATATAAACATGGTTTCAATCAGTTGTATACGACTACAGTTCAAATCTTTCAGCAATCTTGTTTGTTACAAAAGTTTTAAATGTATAATAAAATATTCATTATAAAATATTGCAGGGCGAACAGACTTCATGTCTGAAGTCAAGTTTTTGAAGGAAGGCGATGAATGATACCACGGAGGGGAAATAGCTGTATGATTATGTATTAAAACATGCATGCAGGAAATGGATAACGATGGAAAAAAAATAAGTTTTTGAAATAATATATTTTATCCAGTCAACCCAATTATAATATGAATATGAAACATTTTGGAAATAGGATAATAAAGATTTACTATAAATATACTGCCCTACATTTCCCTTAGTACATTGTACATGCCAACAATAACAAATATGGTCAAAAGTTTTTACAGTGCACTTTTTTTTAAAGCGATCCTTTGGAGGTATTCTATCTCTGCCGCACTAATTTTTTTAAAAGAAGACTTATTTCTAACTACAAGTTGGTGCATGTTAAGTATTTATTGGAACATGGCAGTTATACTTTTGACAAATAGACTCTATGATATGTTAGGTATGTGGGATATTGATATACAGTTGAACCTCGTTATCTCGAAGTCGACAGGGTTGTTGGAAAACTTTGAGTTATCTGAGTATTTGCTGTTTGGGCCAAGCACTAGAAGTCATTGTTTTGTATTAATAGCCAATGCTTATAATCAATCGATAAATGATATGCGCAATCAATACAGGTATGTAATTAGAGCAAGTTATTTCTGAAAAAAAAGTACTTGTGTTTAACTCGATCAAAAAGGTTAGATCCTATTGTTAATTCGTCATGAAATATGGACAGGCCTAGTGATTAAATATGGTTTGACTAATCTAGGCAAAGTCTTGGATGGCTGTTTCTTTATGATGTTGTACACTGTAACACATTTTGATAAAAATTCTACTTGTATAGCAACACAACTAAATAACCTGTTATGAAATATAAACAATTCTGTTCCAAAAGTGAATGTCATTGTTGTCTTTTTACCGATACAGCAGTTCAAAAACATCAACAAGAATATTAAAATAGTATGAAATTTAAATGAAGAAAAAACAATAATCTCCAATTTTGGCACAGTACTGCACATGTGTGTGAAAGTGACGATTTGTTTCTAAAATATCAGTTTGAAGTGCGCTCCGGACGCGGGTCGCATATTTCCAACATATTATAGAGGGCCGGAGTTCTGACGTTAGACCGATATAAAAAAAGTCGATAAAACGTCAGAATAATTTGGACTACTATTGTACATGCCAAATGTGACACCCGACACCTCCTCAACTCGATGTAATCAACAGCAATTATTGTATTGTTCTTAATACCTCTTGATCGACTTTCAAAGCTATACTGGCTCATGTAAAAACTGTAGAACTCTTTAATGCATGACCACGCTTTGTGACGCTTAAACAGACTCTTAGTATGTACAGAATACTGTTGTTCAACATTCATGAAGTTTGTGTTTTATTATGAACAACATGGTTTTGACAGTCCGCAAAATTTACAGTCTTAAGATTTATCGTATATTATTTTTACCGATTTCATGCTGGTCTTCTAACAAAAGATGTTCATACATACGGAATGGTCAGATGCCGTAGTTTTGCGTTTTATTTGTATCAAAAAATTGAAAAGTGACCCAATGAACACTATGAAGTAGACGATGTTTTGGTGATGGATTTACACTGTTGAAACCAATATCTTACTTCGTGGTATGCAAGCTTTTCAAGTTTTCAGGGTTGGAGAGGTATCAGAGTTTTATTTACTAAGATAAATAAGAGATTTGGTCTGGATCGGAGAAATACTTCCAGATAAACGGGGTCTTCGAGATATAAGGTAGCAATGCATAGTAGCATATGGTGGCCATGGGTGATATTTTAATACAACAAATAACCCCTGTAATATTACATATACCAAAATTTGAAAGAAAAAAAAATAAGCACTAAAATTGGCACATGATGAAGTGGACCATATGTGGGCTTCCTAATTCGAATTTGGTTTTTGAGACTACAGTTTTGGGCATTTACAAATCTGTGTCTACATAACAAAAGCAAGCTTTTCATGTAGTCTATTTTTGAACTCGGCACATACTAAAACGTGAGTATTTCCGTTACCAACCAGGCAATATTTAATTTGAGACAGGTTTTAAGAAAAAATAACTATTTGCAGGGGTCAAATTTTGGGTTAAAATCATGGTGGAGTTTTTGGCATTTTTTGGTGTTTTATGATGTGGTAACTATGGTTTTCACAAGTCCTAAATCTGTGGAAAACAGTTTTTGAAAAAAAAAATCAGTCTTCTTAAATGTATTCAAAATGTAGTTTATAAATATATTTATATATATCTGTAGGTGTGTTGTGCAGATTGAATCAACTATCACTATCCAGACGGACAGACAAACCCAAATTAATATCCCCCGTTTCGGTGAAAGCGGGGGATAATAAAAGTTCTAGATAACGTATACACAAAGGCCATTTTTGGGAAGAACAGAAAAAGTTTGGTGCATTTGAGATGTAACAAGGCATTTGATTGGTCATTCAAAATAATTTTCCACAGTAAAACCACAATATACTGTCTAGGGCTGTAACGTTACACCTATGCCACGATACGATACGAATCACGATATCTACCCACGATACGATACATTTTGATACGATACAGGATGACGAAATGTTATGCTTCCTCTTCAAATGCGTCCCCATGTTTGATGTGTTCCCTGACTTGTAACTTAAATCTTCGAAATATATGCGGCAAGTGGAGAGTGATTTTCCATCGGGGACATTTAGCAGGAAACCAAAATGCTGCCAAACAGGCGAGCGAAAGGAAGCGGGAGTTTTTTTTTAACCCTTTATGCTGCTACATTGATTTCTAT